CACTGCCCTCGGCTCCCCTATTGCTGCTTCTCAGGGGAGAGAGAATGCGGCTCCTGGTTGCATTGTGTCGGGCCCGCCAAAAAGTCAACAGTGAACCACAAAAACATTTCCCTTCCAGAGCGTATGTGCGTTTGTGCCTATGGCCCAGTTCCCAAGTCGGCTCCGATCCTCTCTCAGGTCACGTCACATTGTGTTTGCTGGCATTTCTCCACCTGGTCGTTCCCTGTTCAGTGTCGGTGAGTTCCGAATACAGCGTAGTTTCAGACGAAATAAAATCCCCCACGATCCTTAGTCCCGGGTCCGGTGGTGAAGAGGGGAGGGGGCGATTTCAATGCGTGATGGCAACTGCCGGGCGGGTTCCATGTTGTCTCTCCTGCAGCTCCATCTCGTTGTAGCTTTATTGCCCGAGAGGCTCTCATGGCTAAACATAGAGGATACGAAAGCCTCGCGGATTGGGACTCGTACGTTGTCTGACAGACACCCCCTGAAATGATTTTGTGAATGTCTGATTCGGGTGGTGGGGGGAGTAGTCTCCGCTGCGGGAAGTCAGGGGTATTTTGACCAGTGCCAACACGGGCTCCAACGTATGGAAACTTGGGAAGTGAGCTACGGAGCCGCAAAGGACCCCAAACCTGGTTGCTGATGGGATTTTTTGTGGTTTGTGGTGGTTTCTGGCAGCCTGTGAGAGGCTCGTTTCCTTCGGGACGGACCCGCGTGGCAGGATGGGGTGGACCTGGCAGAATTAATGTCACACAGGACGTACTCCGTCTTGCGTCGATCGGAGCTTTACATTGATTAGGTCTGTGCCACGAACCGCCCCGACCACGCCCTCGACGTCCGGGATGGCGCTTCGGATGACCAGCCATCATTGCCCGTTTCAGTAACCGTTGGTTCTGCCATTGGATTTCTGTGTGGAGTGGGAAGCCCCCGTCATATATTCAATTCCATGGTTGTTTACGCGCCCGCATCACATACGGGGCCCGTACTACGCGGCCAGCGACCAACAATCCATGTCATGGCCTAATCCATCGTGTTGTCGATGGCAAGTTGATGGACTCTATGGGAATAGGGTGATCCAATGGCTCGGGTGAGCTCGTCGAAAGACCCAGTTTCTATCGCAGCCTTCAATGGTATATCAACTAGAGGTCGCCTTGCTCTGTCGATCCGTTCTCTCTTGTTGTTTCATTCCCACAGTCACTCATTCTTTCATTCGTTCAACTCTTTTCTACACCTTTTTTTCCAAGATGTTCGCCAAGTCCTTCCTTTTGGCCGCTGCGGCCCTTGCCCAGCAGGCCGCTGCCGTCTCCGTCACCGGTACCCCCGAGGGTTTCGCCTCTGGCACCACCGGCGGAGGCTCTGCGACTGCCGTCACCCCCACCACCAACGACGAGCTGGTCTCGTACCTCGGCGACTCGTCCGCCCGTGTCATCGTCCTGACCAAGACCTTCGACTTCACCGACGAGGACGGTACCGCCACCGAGACCGGCTGCGCTCCCTGGGGAACCGCCTCCGCCTGCCAGGTCGCCATCAACAAGGACTCGTGGTGCGACAACTACCAGTCCAGCGCCCCCTCCGTCTCTGTTACCTACAACAAGGCCGGTCTCAACCCCATCAAGGTTGCCTCCAACAAGTCCATCATCGGATCCGGCTCCAAGGGTGTCATTGTCGGCAAGGGTCTGAGAATCGCCGGTGCCGAGAACGTCATCATCCAGAACATCAAGATTGAGAACATCAACCCCAAGTACGTCTGGGGTGGTGATGCTATCACTCTCGACACCACCGACAACGTCTGGATCGACCACGTCACCGTAAGTGCTCATTCGTCTGAGATCTTGAGATTGCAAACAACTGACAACCTCGACTATAGACCTCCAAGATCGGCCGCCAGCACCTTGTTCTCGGCACCTCTGCCTCCGGCAAGGTGACCGTCTCCAACTCTGAGTTCGATGGCCAGAGCGACTACTCCGCCACCTGCGACGGCTACCACTACTGGGTCAACTACTTCGCCGGCTCCAGCGACACCATCACCTACATGAACAACTACATCCACCACTTCTCTGGTAAGTCTGAAAGGGAAACATCAGCAAAAGCATCAGAAAACTAACTCACCAACCTAGGCCGTGCCCCTAAGGTCAACGGAAACTCCTTCGTCCACGCCCTGAACAACTACTGGTCCGACTCCACCGGCCACGGCTTCGAGGTCACCTCCGGCGGCTACGTCCTGGCTGAGGGCAACGTCTTCAGCAACGTCGCGACCGTCATCGAGGCCGGCGGCGACGGTGCCACCCTCGCCATCACCTCCTCCAACGCTGCCGACTGCTCCTCCAAGATGGGCCGCTCTTGCCAGGCCAACAGCTTCTCCAGCTCTGGCACCTTCACCGGCACCGACACCAGCGTCCTCAGCAAGTTTGGCAGCGCCGATATCCCCGACGCCGTTGCCGCCTCTTCCGTCTCCAGCAGCAGCGCTGGTTACGGCAAGATCTAAGTCATATCCGCTTTTAGGATTTGACTTTGTTACGCTCTTCTAAAATAAACCATTTCGCCCCGGGTCAAGGTTACCCCCAGCGGCAGTGGGATTAGCGGCAGCTTTCGATTCTGTAGATACCTTATCTTCTTTACAGCCTGTATAAATGACAGCCTTTCTTGGAAAAAACTATCTTGTCTTGTTCCCCTGTGATGTGATGTAGTTGAACCAAACCTGACTCCAATGTCCACCCTCTTTGGCGTTCCCACGAGTCAGTAGCTATTTTTGTTTCCGATGTGAAATTAAACAATCCCTAGCAAAAACTCTCACAGTTACTACCCGCTGTGCGCGAGCAGCAATGTTCAGTGGTTCGTGCGCTTCTCTGCCCGCGCCGTGCGACATCATTTCTGCCCGGAACTCAAGTCCGTTCACCCGGGGGCGATTGCCGCGTGGTCATCCCACCGGGTTTTATTAGACTGGGCAGATGCAACTGCTCGACGACAGGGAGAAGAAATTTTCTTTTTCCCATTCTTTTCCGTTTCGGCTTTTGGAAATCGTCATGCGATTGTTGCCATCGGCACAACATTGATCGGCAAGTTGTGAAAGTTTCGGCTTGAATCAGGAAAACGATTCAACTTCGGACAGATCTTCAATGGCGATTCGGTATCTTAGTGAGACCATGAGTATGTCATCCAGAAGTTACCTATATACTCGAACTTTTTGCGCCGCGTTGAAGAGCAATGGCGGCGAGTTGCGACGATGGATTTCGGGTTTAGTCAACTTGAGTGCTGAGACAACTGTCACTATGGGTCCTGCTGGGAACGGGTACTGTTAGCGCTTAGGGGCTGCGTCAAGTACAAGCGACAAGAACAGGGAGCAGTCTCGGAGTGAGTGCAACACAAAACGGACGATGACCTCAGCAATATACCTGCGGGCTTACTCGTTCGATCAACAGCTGAAAATTTCTCGATGATCTTCTTGAGATATTTCGTTATGTGACGTAATTGCAAGCCCGATTACACTTGTGTTATGCTGAGGTGCGCGATGAGAGCTGTTGCATCCCATGATCAGAGTTGCGCAACGACATGAGTCGATCAGTTCCGTCTCAACTTTGCCTACCTTACGAAGCAACAATTACGTTAGCTATCAACATAAACTAGTCAAACTCGGGAGCAGGTATTGTTCACTTACGGATTGATGCAAAATCGCACATCTTTTCCCAACACCTGCGGCCATTAAAAGGGTCTAGTAATATTGTCATACGGTTTGGAATCGAGGTGCTTTAGTCGTTACATGTACCTCCTCTTAACCAGCAACTGGCACCATCTCAAAATTGTCCAGCCAGAACGTTGCATTCAATCCAAGAGAGAGAGGACACCTGAACTGCGCCTGTATCAGCAAGTCATAGGCAGGTGCGAAAGACCCCGACTCAATCGTCTGCCACTGTTGCCCACAGCCATCCATCATAAAATATCCAGCCACCACCTGGTTGCGTCCTGCATCATAGCTAGTCATCGACAGATAGCAGCCCTGGCTACTGACAGATCGCACACGTGTCCGCATCACGTACTTCTGATATTGCAAACCGTCTCCTCCGTACCCAGCAATGTAGAATAACGGCCCGCTAGTACCTGCCGTCACTGCTGGTTGGTTATTGAGCCATATACTCCGCGAGGTTGCCGCACCGTTGTACCCCGGTGACGCAAACCCTAAGACAGGCTTGGCCCCGTAGACGATGTTTCCTTCTGTGGGCTTCTTGAGCCAGCTGGGAAACGTGACTGCGCCTGAGCGAACGTCTGCGAATGTGAGAACTTCTCCGTTCACTATTGGTGCAATATTGGTGGTGGGCGTGATCATCCTGATTTCGAGGCTGTCAAAAGTCACCCACGCCACTGCACTTCTCGGACTTGTCGCGCTGATCGTGACAGTCATGGCATCGAGAGCTGGTGTGAAGACAGAAGTAACTGTTTGCCAGCTTTGAAGCTGCTGAGGGTCGGCTGACTGTGTTACGACTGGCTGAACAGTGGTTGAGGGGGCGGTAATTTGCAACACGGCAGTCGGGGGTTGACTCGTTGTCCCACCTAATTGGCATCGGAGCGAGACTTGATACGTCGCGCCTCTTACGACGTTGAAGGTCTGAACGAACTTTGTGGTACGGACGGCGTTGAAGGAAGTGAAAGACATGTTGTAGGCCAGAGCATTTGCGTCGCCTTGGACATATGTATAAGTAGTTTGGGACGAGGTGGTCACCGCCCATGTCTGAAGATCGAGGGCGCTGCCGAATGTCTTTGAAAATGTGGCGGTCAGGTCATTTCGGTAGCCTGGGTTGCAGGTGCTTGCTGCAGCTGCGGTCGAGCTTGTGGTAGAGCTGGGGGCGATGCCATTGCTGCTAATCGAGCTACTACTGACGCTTGAGCTAGAAGATGAGATTGATACTGAAGAAGTGGAGGACGAGGTAAATGTCGACGCTGGGGACGTGAATATGCTCGAGGTGCTCGACGTAGTTAAACTAGTGGTTGAGGAAGTCCCGGAGCTGTCAAAAATGGAGGAAGTCGAGGTTGATGAGCTCCCCATAGTTTCCGATGAAGAGGAGGCAGTCACCGAAGTCGTAGTCGCAGAAGACTCCAGACTTGTTGAGGTAGTAGATACTGCAAGAGTGGAGGAGCTTGAGGAAGTATCCTGAGTAGACGAGGTTGCTCCAGATGTGGCAACGCTCGCTGTGCCAAGTGAGCTGGTCGACGTCGTAGAGGACGACGATGACGAAATAACAGGCGGATTGATGCTGTAAAGACTGAGACGATCGCCCCCTCCGCACCATTGCGAAGAGTCTCCCACGCAGACATGCCCACAGTCTTTCTCTGAAGCCATGGAACCGCCGACAGTATTGCCGCAGTAGCACTCTCGAGAGTACTCCAGACCAAAGTAGCTGTAACCCTGACAGAAACTAGCACACCTCTCAGCAGTCATGTCATCGGCCCTGTAGTCTTTTGCAGAAAGAGAGCGACGACCATCCACGTTATCGACCCAGCAAGAGGAATAGTAGAAGCCGCCGACGGTTGCGAGGTTCTGGACAACCGGGATAGTTGATGTTTGTGGTAGAGCATAAACTGATATGCGGTTGGCGTCGCCACAGATCTCTGTGCCGTTACCGCCGCACTTCATTGTACACGCAACATCTGACTGTTTTGCACTGGCCGTATCTAAAGACATCCCGCAATAGCACTCTCCCGTAAACTCAACACCGAAGTAGGTGTAGTGGGAAGTGCTGCAAAACGAAGCGCACTTTTCGAGGGACATCGTGGGATCGCGGACAAGGTCGCCCGTGAGAACGCGCTGGGGCAGGTTATCGGTGTAGCAACCCTGGTAGACGTACCCAGAGACGGTAGCTGCTGCCGCTGGTGAGACGGGAGAGGGTGTTGAGCCTTGTGAGGGAGCCGTGCCGGGGAGCGATGATACCACCGGCGGTCCGTAGACACTGAGCCTCATGCCGGCGCCGCAGAGCTCGGCATCGGACCCGGAGCAAGAAAATGAGCATTCGGACTCTGGAGCAGCAGACCGCGGCGCCACGTTACCGCAGTAGCACTCTCGCGACCACTGCGTACCGAAGTAGGTGTATCCTTGGCATTGTTGAGCACAAAATGCCGCTGTCATGGTGTCGGAAGCGAAGGGCTTGTTGGGAAGCACCCGGTCGCCGTTGTCGATGAAGCATCCCAAGTAAACATGATCAACGAGCGTGGCGGGCTTCGGACTAGAGAACCCCAGATTGGTGTAAATATCGATACGGTTTCCAGCGCCGCAGACTTCCGACGGATTGCCAGAGCAGGCGAAGCCGCACTCGGCTCGGTCGACTGCCAGCGCTTGAGTCTGGATTGTGTTACCGCAGTAGCATTCTCTGCCATACTCGACGCCAAAGTGGCTGTACTTTGAGCAGAAGGAGCTGCATTTCTCAACTGTCATGGTGTCGTCGGCGATTGCTGGCCCTCCCAGCGTTCGTTGACCAGCTATCGCATCGGTATAGCATGCCAAGTATGTGTAAGAGCCATCGCGGGCCTCGATTGGAGAGTTGCTGGGAAGAGCTTTCACAAGGGGCAGAAGAAAGAACAGGAGGCGGGCTGCCGTGTGTAGATTGAAACGAGTGTGAGCCATGTTTGTGACACATGGAAGCGAAGAAAAGGCGCGAGAATGACGGTGGATTATTCTCTGAGCAAGGTGGGAGATGTTGTAAGACTTGTATCTCGGTTTGAGGCAAGCCACTTCGAGAATAATTTAATTACAGGGCACGATGTAGTGAATAGTCCCAAATCAGGGTCTAGTGTAGACCCGAAGACTTCTTACCCCTGCACTAGTACTCCCCCAAAAGTAAGTAGAGCCATGCGGTCGGAATCAGAACTCACTAGGTCTTCAATTAGAGTTGCTAGTGACTTGCCACCATACCAACATAGCTTAGTGTTGGCGACATTCACTCTTCTCTGGGTTGGGGTCGCTCGGGGCTAGTTCACGTTGAGCATGAGCTCCAACCGCCACACAATTTCCACAAGCTCAAGCTCAAGATGCACTTTCCCCATTCAGAGCTCGTTTGACTGTGGATAATTTCGGATTTCGCTATTCAACCCAATGAGCCAACTGATCCTTGCCTACTGACTGACTCTAGAGGGTCTGCTGCAGTATCCACATCCGATATGGTGTAGTGGCCAACATGATGCCCTCTCATCTCAGTGAGAGGTTAGGCATAGCCCCGAGTTCGATTCTCGGTTTCGGAATGTTTTGCTCATGCAACCAGTGAACTCATATTTGACGTTCATCAACAACCGTCTGACTATTGAAGATGGTCCTATCCACTTTACTGGCGCAACAAGGGCCATCATTATACATTGATAGTCTTGGCCAACCCGACTTGGTTGATCATTGTAACAACCATTTCCTCTGGGATTCCGGTATTCGTAGCTCTCTTAATTGGTTTTGGCTCTGCACCATGACTCCTCCCAGTTACGGAGAGTCACCTTCATGTCCTCTGCCCTGTGCAGTATTGCGGAGCTGCGACTTGCCGTGCTAGACAGTATCAGAACCTCGCTGACCGTAGGTACGTCGTTGAGAAATCGTTCCAGCCTCAATAAGGGGACATCGGAGCCCTCTCTATTTAATTGTTATAATGGGGGCAGCAGGACGTGTGGTATTGACGCAGAACTTACTGAATGCCATCAGCCATGGTTGCCAACGAACTTGATCTTTTTGACATCGTAACTGGAGATGGGTTGAACGGAATCGAGTTGATTTCGATCCACGATGTCGTTCTATTACGAACTCGTAATTCTGGTCAAAGTCTATTTGTGTCTATCTATGGACAACTCCATTCCACTTTTTCTCAGCATCTCCTCAACTCCTTCTTATATGGCTAGATTCTGCCAATTATGTTCAGTGCTCTTCCAAAACAAACTACATAGCACATGATCACGACATGGAGTCTTTTTTGTTGACCACGAACTCGTCCAAAAGCCTCTGGCAATCGCAGTGAAACAGAGCACAAGAACCGTCTTCGATATGAAGAGCACTATTGTGCTTTGGGTTGGTCGTGATTGGTAGAATTTCCTGCCTTCAAGAATTTGGTCAGGATCATTCCAACGAATGAGGCACCGGCATGTGGCAACCCTTGATGACAGTGGCCATAAGCGCGTTAGTGTTGATCTGTAGAGGCTGAAATTCCCCTTTCCCCTCTTATTCTTGCCATGAATCCGTTTCCCTCGCAAGCAGAGACGCACAGCATCATAACAGCCATTGTAGTCGCAGTTTCTTCGATCTTTTCTGGACAGAACGCCGACTTGGCAACATTTCCGGGCCCTCTTTTCTCTCATCTTTCATCGGGGTGCTTCAATACACTTGCAGAAACGATGGCATCGCCGACTCTTGCTGACCAGGCTGGACAAGCAGAGCGCCAGCCGGCTGATTCGTCCAGGAACCTGACGGAGAGGCAATTCCTTGACCCAACCTCTCGTCATTCACCGAAGGAACAGGAAGCTCAGAATGAGAAGCGAGCGACAAGGGCTAAGAAAGCCTGCATAACGTGTCGGTAAGATTCGATGGCTTAGGGGTTTCCACAAAGGCTTGTATTCTTTTGTTATTCTTGGCCGATACTAATGCTTGACGCTCAAGGCGACGACATCTCAAGTGTGACGCGACCCGACCTCTGTGTCTCAAATGTACCACTCGAGGCAGTGGCTTGTGTGAGGGATATGAGCCTAGCGTTCCCACAGGAGAGCCACGAGCATTGGGTGGAGAAGAGGTACGACAGCTCCCGAAAGATGCAGTTTAACAATTAGTCTAGTTCCTGCAGCTTTCTTTCGGCTTTAAAGCCATCCGAGACTGATGCCATCAAACAGAAAACGCCTCAGAATGCTAGGAGCTCTGTTGAGAAGCCGGCTGACAGAGCTGTGATTCTGCAACTAGCTGAAATGGCGTCACTAGATCCTAACCTTCGAAAGCTGATGCAGCAAGTCGCAGATGGAAAGGCTCAAACCCAAGAGCTCGATCATTTCCAACGCATTATAGACAATGTACAGGGGGATTTAGAGTTTCGAAAGCGAAATGGTCAGCAGGGCCATTCGCCCACCAAAGACATGCAGCAGCCAGCCCCAGGTATGCTACCTAGATGTAGTGGGCCAAATTACGACGCTGCATCTCTTGCCTCAAGGGTCACAGGGACGAGTAATCACTCCATCAACGATCACTTATTGTCCCGAGACAACGAGACGAGGACTATAACTAGTGACAATGCGTTAATTTTTGAAGAACTAGAAGGGAGCTACTCGCAGTCCCTGCCGACTCCTGCGAAGCAAGAAGCCCCCTTCACTGATTCCGGATATGCGTCAGGGATCGACGTTAGCAGTCTCCCGGGAAGGGAATTGGGAGGTGCTAATACACCTGGCTATGACGGAAATGACCTTGATGCTAGAACCATATACTCAGCAGCGAGCAGTGTGGCAATGGATCAAGCGCAGCGGTATATCTCCGAGCTGTCCAGCACTATCCATGGTAAGCTCAGCGGGAGTATCGACGTGGATCACTGGATGTCAATGTCCAAACGCCTCTTGAGCCTTATCAAAGATTTCTCTATCAAACTTGGCCTTGAATCCTCGGTCCAGGTGAACCGGGACATAATGCACTTCGTACACAAACGTAGCAGGTGCGTTCCCTGTATATCAAATTGACAAATCCTTTGAGCACATCCGCATGAAGACTAAATGAAGACAGGGAGATTGCAACGCAACTTGACTCAATGGTACTCTGTGTCAACGCTTCAGCAGAGGATGCGGACAAGAGTATTGAGGCCAAGAGAGACCACATGCTCCTGAGCGATAAAATGGCCCTGTGGAACAGCAAGGCGACGGAAGTAGGGACCTATGTCAACGAGAACGAGCTTTTCGTGGGGGTTACGGACGAAGAAGATACAATAGACACGCCGGAACTATCGAAGTACAACAAGACCGTCATAGAGAGCAAGTCATTCAAGTGGCTTATCGATAGCCTGCGAAGAGAATTGGCCCTCAGGCGAGATTTCGATGAGTCGGAAGGTTTCAACCATCGTGAAAGTCTACGGCGCAAGATCACAGAGAACCTTCCGACCGGCAAGATTAGTAAAAGCCAGCCACCAACCACTCACTCCGTAACATTTCGAGTGCCGGGATGGGCACTCCTTGACGCAGCCGGTCTCAACCTGTTCAGATCTGAAAGCCCCCTGCACGAGGCCATTGTCATAACGATTTGCTCCAGAGATGCCCAGGCAGCATCCTTAGAGGATTACATGAAACAAACATGGCCTTCAACCTGGAGAACGATCTTCAACTTGGTGTATTGGGCGTCTGTCGGTGTTAGTGGCATCGTTTATGCAGGTAAGCTCTTGTCCTGGGTTAGTAATGAGGGTATTCTCACTGCTGTACAGATATTTTGCATGACAAGACCAAGGTATCAGCATCTTCTGAAGACGGTACTCTCATAGTGAATCTCCACGGTACTGCACACACCATTGCAGAGTGCGGTGAGCAGCTTGCCTGGCTGCAGACTTCATGCGCACACGCCCCTCCTCACCAATCAATGGGTAATGTCCTACAACGAATTCCCGTTATCATGAGTATAGCTACATTTCATGTATTAGTAGGTACACACTTCCAGGGAGAGTGGTCGTTTCGTGTATTCTGATCTCATTAGGGCCGTGTATGTTTTGATATCGGCGTCGGTAAACCTGTCTTGGACGAGTTTTCACTCTTGGAACAGTCTCAATGGATAGAGTTACTAAAGAACCACAACGTTGTTCTTATTCCAGGGTATCCTATCTTGCGCCGACCGAAGGCTTTCAACGGTATCGAGGTTTCTCCTCACCATCTCCTAGATTTCCTGGGAAGGGATTCCAGATCCACTTCCAAAGTCAGTGTGGATGGAACACGAAAGAAGCTTTCTCTTGTGAAGCAAGTGCAGAATGTATACCTCTGGCATGAAACCCCGATTGCTCGGAAACTATCTTGCGTTTGCTCGAAGCCTAGCAATCAGGCACATAAAGGTGCACATGGCGGGAGAACTATTGACCTAGAGAATATCCTGAGCGGCCGACATATCATTGAGCAATGCCGAGAATCCCGTCCGCACGCAGGTAAGCGACATCATAGAATATCTTTTCCATAACATATTGTCTCCGACCGTTGATTTTTGACATTCCGCAGATGACTTCGTGTCAACTATAGGAAGAGAATCTACATGTAGGTTCAACGACGATGGAGGCCCGTACCCCAGCGCCCCTAGCTCATTGGTAATGGAGTCACATGGAGCTGAGTCCCCGAAGAGCACAGCGTCGTCGGGGAAGCTCACAGGGGGAACTGGAGACATGGACATTGTCTCCAGCCTTTCGTGGGACGATGATGCCAATTCCCGGGCTTCGTGCCAATGCTCATATGGGATTCATCCGTGTGAATCGACCGAATCTTTGTTGGAATCTGACTTGCTGTCGATGTCGGAATCATCGGAAGAACTTGAGCCCCTGCGAGATGACGATCCGATACGGGCAGTCTTGAACACCGTGGTTATCCGCCTCGTTTCAGGCTTTCGATATGCAGCTGGCGGGGAGATTCCACCTTATGATAGTGGACAAGATCACGGAATGACAGTTTCATCGTCTTCTCGCAGCATCGTCGCATCTTTAGGGCCTGCAGGAAAAGGTAGAAAGAGGAAACATGTCCAAAACGACGACTCAGACTCAGAAGAGGACGCGACCAATCCAAGACCTTCCAAAAGGTCTAAGAAAACGCCACAGAACATCAAACTTCTGGCCTGTCCATTTGGGAAGATGAGCCCCAGCAAATATTCCGCCTGTTCGCGATTCCAGCTCAAACGAATCCGGGACGTCAAGCAGCACCTGAAGAGAGAATGCTGGATGGGGTCACCCACAGACAAAGCCGCGACCTCTCTAGAAAGGCAAATGCGGAGTTGTCGGAAGAGCAGCAATGGTTCGCAATTTGGGATATCGTTTTCCCCCACAAGCCACGCCCTGAATCCGCTTACCTAGATTCCGCTTTTGCCATGCAAGTTTGCCTATTTCGGGAGCATTGTGCGCGACACGCGGAGCCGCTCCTTTTCCAGAATCTTCGTGCTGCCGGACTATTAGATGAAGGCAGGTGGGCCGCCGACCAGGAGCAGCTCTTAAGGAGAGTCATTGCAGAGTCTTTGGATTCCGTCTGCGATACTTTCAGCACGAATGGCTCTTCGGACTCAGGAATAGGTCGAAACCGCAATTCAACACGCAATGAGACACCCGCTGCGTCATTGGTGGATAGCGGTATTGGGATAGGAAGTCACTTCCAACCAAGGACAGCTTCATTCGCAACTGCATCCAATTCACAGCAAAACATCCTCCCAGTACCTACGGATGTTCCAGCGGATTTTCAAACACTAGGGTCAGAAGAGGGGGCAGTGCTTGGCTCGCAATCTTTTGCCAGTTTACATCAACCGGGAGCCTTAGGCCAGTCCTCTACAGCGGATTTTCCTCTTGATCACGATCGACCAAGCGTGGAACATGGTCCGGATGAACTTGGAATATTTGACTTCAACTTATCAACGGATTTGCCTCCCCTCGAACTTTCCTCGTGGACATTCCCACAAACAGAACTTATCCCACACAAAGAGGGGGTTGAAAACGCTGTATAATTACGATCTTCGTGGCTTGATAATTAGCACACGATACACAACAGTTCCACTTCGCTCAACTCCTGGTCCATAGAAAGAGAGGATATCGATTTGGTTTAACGTTCCATTCTATATTGCATTGTTGTCGCAACGCCACACGTAGCGCTGCCTACTTATTGCCGTACGAGACCGCTTACGACGAGACGAGTGCCCTCTTCGTACGGTATTTAGATAGAGGGTCCCATACTTAGAAGAATCAAGCCACTTTCTACTGTATATGTCTTCCACTTGGATCCTCGCTTTGTAATAATTGTAAATATATTCCTTACTTATGGTTATTACCTAGCACCCCAGCCAAGAGTGAAAGTTGAGATGGCAAAGACCGAGACACGGACATCACAACGCTTGCAATTTCCACTTGGCAGAGGTAGGTAGGATCGTCAGCTAAGAAGGGAGTAGAGTTGCTGCGTGTTCATGTCTGGCAATGCCCACTCTGCATATGTGTGCCTGAGGGTTCTCGTAAGGTAGTGGGCGCTCGTGTCTGCATGGCCACGTCATGGAGTTTTCAGCTCGCCTGGGGACCTACATGTAAGCTGAAAGACCCTAGACAGATACATCATCGACGCCCTGCCCTCGATCGCTGCCCTAGTTTCTCTCACTTCTATCGCTGTTCTCCAGGTAGACCAAACTAGACTCGAAGAAAATTCTCTAGAAGTGCTCAGAATGCGTGTCATTTCGAGTTCATGGCTCTTTGCGGTGACCGCCTCAGCCTCCCTATCCGACATCGCCTCCCTACGCTGCAGCTCCAGCGCCATTCTCCCTACGCCCTCATACGACCTCAAAGGCGCGCTCTTCACAGTCTGCACCGAGGAAGTAATCAACGCACCCATCAACAAAATCTACAACACGCTCCTCGACTTCCGCCGCTACAGTACCTGGAACACCTTTGTAATCGACGTCGGCCTCCCGCCCGATGTGCAGGGACCGGCGGACGTGTACACCGGGCTATCGATGAACTTTACCACCGCTGGTATCATCCCTGGTGTCAATACCTCCTCGACCGAGGTCATCAGTCTACTTGCGCCGAATGTGTGCGGCAGTGACGACGGCGCTACACGAGCCGTCAACGCGTGGGGCAACGATGATGGACTCGATGGCGCATTCTTGCCGGCAGAGCATCCAAATCTACTGACGGATTTGGGGAATGGGTCGGTCAGGATGGTGTCGTATGAGACTTATTACCTACCCGGGGCGACGACACTGTTACCTCTGAAGGGTACTCTACAAGAAAGGTTTGAGACGCAGGGGAAAGACTTGAAGAGGTTCGTGGAGGGGAGCCTTCGTTAAAGTCATCAAATCGTCAATCTGTATTGGTCATTATCTTCGTCGACTATCCCTCAGAGGGCTTCTCTTGGGAACCTCTGGCGTCTCAACTGCTTCTTCCCTGGGTATCTCTTCCATAAATCTCCCTATGCGTGTTCTCCCACCGCCTCCATCGCCCCCAGCCGTCCCCGAGCTGCTTCTGTCAACGGCCCACGTATCACCACTGAATCCAGACGTCGGGCTCGAACGGTCAATACTCCCCCCAGTCTCCTTGTCTCCTCCATCTGTCTCATTCTGCGTAACATACTCAGATCTCAGACTCAACCTCATAGTCTTGAGAATCACCCCACCCTTCTTCTCAAACTCCTCCTCCTCCCGCCACGACTCATCCCCACTACACGTCATATCCTGCGAATAAATCGACGAAGCCTGCGTCTTATACCCCGCCGCCCCCGCCACCCTCCTCTCCGCCGTCTCAAACAGAATCGGCTTCCCGTCCTCCGCAACATGCCAACTCCGCCCCGGCCTCCGCGGCGCCGTCCCCGTAATCAAAAGATTCCCCAGACTCAATTTCGCGGGGCCCAGTTGCGCCATCGTAAGCGTCGGCAGCGGCGGCGCCGGCATACGGAGCTTATTCAAGTGGCTCGCGATACTCGCATTCCGGCTCCGCGCCGCTAGCCCCGCGGGCGTGCTGGGTTCCGTCCAGGGGTAGCCGTGGTATGTCAAGCTGGTGAGATCAAAGCTCTGCGTCTCAGCACCACCGGCCTCGAGCGAGCGCCGCTTTGCGCTGCTCATCATCACGGAGGGGAAGAGGCGCGCCAACAAGGGGCGGAGGGTCGGCGCGCTGGCGCACATGATGGCGAGGTCGCATTCCAACACCGTCATGACGAAGAAGCCGAGAGTGTTGCGAACGCCGGCGTCGTCGGTGGGCCGGTAGTGCAGGTGCAGGCTGAGCTGTAGACGGACCATGCTGGCTACAATTACGAGGACGCTGAGGCTCATGACAACTGCGAGGGCAATCTTTTGGCGGCGGGGGAGATCGAGCCGTGCGACGGAGGGGACGACCATGGCGACGAGCCAGGCGTCTGTAGCGGAGTGCAGACTCGCGCTGGCGATGAGGAGGTCTGGGAAGCGGAAACATACCGGCACCGGGCGGCTGAAGAATTGGCCTTGGACGGGGTTGCATTGGAGGAAGGACATGAGGAGTAAAGGGAGGGTGTAGAGGAGGACGAAGGCAACGGCGGCGCGGGCGAGGAGGCGTTCGCGGGGCCGGGAGGATGATGCGAAGACGCGGAGATATAAAGCTAGGATGGAGAGTTTTGTGAGGCAGAGGGCTAGCTGGTAGTAGATTAGGCCTAGGTAGGTTCGCATGATGTACGGGTTTGCGTCGGTGTCGGCGGTGGCAGTTGAGGATAGCGAAGGGGCGCCGAGGAGGGAGGGCGTGGTGGCGGTGATGCTGTAGACTACGCAGAGGGCCGTAGAGAAGAGCCATGCGATAAGGATGAGGGTGTCGTCAAGGAACCATTTGCGAGTGACCCAGAGACGGGAGGCTATTCGGGAGGCGATGAAGATGGTACAGAGGGCGTGGGGGAGGAGGAGGCCCGTCATGAAGAGGGGGACGTTTGCATCTTGCTGTGATGCAATGTGAGATTACTGTCATTCGACAGGATGAATGGAATGGTGACTTACGATTTCCTTGAGAACCGTCGGTGATAATGTTGAAGAAGAAGACGGTGTATGAGGGTGTGTGAGGTTGGCATTGATGCTGGAGTTCGACATCGTGAACAAGACGACTGCGACAGTCGCGGACGAGTCGGATATTGTTGATCCTGAAGCCTACGATCTTCCACGCCTGGTATTTACACTTACATACTTCCAAGACATGAGAGGGAATTCTAGACTTAGAACGACAACATCAAAGGAAGGAAGAGGACCAAGGCCGGTATCAAGTCTCACAGGAACTGAGAGAAGGGCTGGCGTCTTTCATAGAAGATGTGAGAGAGGCCTCAACTACTAGGATAGGAAGCTCCATGCTCGTCATGCGGGACCACGTTCAAAACCCCCCATCCCGGGGTTGGCTTCTTGCGGCGAACATCCTAGCCCGGCAAAGGACCCTGGAGTAGCATCTCCCGAGTCCCGGCCCACCCATCGTCCCCGGGTGTGGAGGAGTTTCCGCATCAAAGTGAGGAAGAATTAACTCAATTCGTCAGCGCGGGCGCATTGGCTCCTGGTGTGTGGATGTGTCTATCTGTCTGCCTTTGAGTGTGCGCATGTGTGTGTGGGTTTTGTGGACTTGTCCATGTCTGCCCGAAGAGGCAAAAGGGAAGGTGAGTGAGTGAGTGGGTGTTAAGTGTGCCAGATGCAAGTCCCAGGCTAAACGGCTGGGATCGCGATTGGATGGGCATCTATTTCGCTTGGGGTTTTCGGCGGGAGAGGCCGATGGAGGGGGAGGGGAGAGTCGTCCAAGTTCCAGCTACTCAGCTTCGTTGAACGGTTCGTGAGTGAATTGTCCTGTCACCTTTTCAGCTTCACCTCAGCTGTCATCTCATATTGGTGAAACGGGGATAGACATTTCGATGGCTGAGAGTGAAACAATTCCGGCTGTCATCTCACGATAACCTCGAAAGAGAGACGAGACACAGATGGGGAAAAGAAGAGACGTCTCCAACTCGAGTGAGTTCCCGCACCAGTCGCTGTGGAATTCGTCGATGCGGGGTCAGAGATGCCACACAAACCTTTGCCTTCTCTTATCCGCAGGCATCTGGATATATTCTTGCTCGACCCCTCCACACCGTAAATCCCGCGACCACATGTGCCACCCCGCAGACGATGGTGGCATGGCAGCACGGAGTGCCGTCCGGGACTTTCCCGATCCGGAAGGACCTGGCTTGATTGCCGCGCCGATTGGTGGGACCGGTTTGTTTCTCAATGTTCTAGTCTGATGGCATGCTTCGTCTCAAGGTTCGTTGCGATAGTTCAACACGCAATCGCCCACTCTTTCTGTCTCTACTCAAGAAGCGTGGGATTTGTGGATGAGCGGATAATTGCGTAGTGGGCGAACGGGAACAGACGATTCATGGCGATGGCGATGTTGACAGGCAACGGCGATTGCATTTTCTGCCCACCTGTCAGGTCATGCACCTCTCGCCCATCCACCCTCTTTTCTAGGTAGTCCCGACACGGCTACTTTCTGCATCCTCGGAGCTTCTTCTTTACGTCCCTTTGCCTTTCGAGCTCACTCGGCTAACGACATCTCATCGGAGAGATGTGCCAAGAGGGGCCGAGAGACTCTTGCGCCCATGCGAATGGCCATCGTGAATGAAAGTCGTGAAGCGCACCACAGACACTACTTATACTTCCGGCCCGTCGTCCCCGCCATTGATTTTTTGTGCGTCTGCACCGATTGCTTCTGCTCATGGGCGCCGAAAGCTTGATGGCGGAAACTGCGCTTTCCGACGTTCTGAGATCTGATTTATGGATGAGGTCGTGTCAGGATGTTCTCAGCGAACTGAAAGGGCCGATCTAGAAGCTTGTCTTCGCTCTTGACGGGTTGAGAGATCTGTGTCGGGTGGTTTATTGAATGTGTTATGGCCGAGTTCTTCTCTTCATGGGCAGGGTGGGATCAAATGTCACCGTACTGCCGGTGCCAGCTGGAAGCATTTGCCGGGAGTCTGTGCGACGTGCTACGGGAGAGGCGCCTCACTGGACTCGAGACTGCCGTGATCATCTCACGCGGCATCAAAGCTGGAATCTCATGGAGAAGATGAGACTCCGGATGCCCTATAACTATGACCATCATGGAAGCGTGCTACCATTTTCGAATGCTTCTCTCTATGTCTTTCTTTCACATTTGACGCACTTGAGTGGTGCATTTTCAGGGCTAATAACATCTCGCTCTCACTCTGAGTTCCATACCCAGTTGAACCTCAGCTAGGTGGTGAGTTTGGTTCACGTCATTTTCATGGCAATGCGGTCAAAAAACCACGGATCTCAGAACGTGAGAAGTCATTAACCATGTCAAGTTCGCTCATATCTGAAAATGAAATTTTCCATTCCTCCTGGTACCCATAGCAATATGATGGTGATGATGATGATAAATTGTTCAGCGCCGGTCCGATCCTCATCAGTTATAAGACGCCCACGTCGACTGCCGGAGAGTATCACGGTCAATCGAACCATCACGACATCGAGTGACCCCTCATTGAAAAATAACCCAAGACCAAGGCACCGTCTCATCCACCATCCCTTCACCCCTCAATCTCCTTAACCTTCTCCAGAACCTTCAAATACCCAGGCTCCCTCTTCAACCGCTCAACATACTCAAACAGCACAGGGTGCGCCGCCTTCACTGACCCACCAGGCCAACTACCCATCGAGTCCCACGCATTCTCCGCGTCCGCCGTAATGAGCGCAAAGCTGATGAGTATATCCGCGGCCGTGAGCTCCGGTCCGCAAAGGAACCCAGCGCCACCGGCTGAAACACCCGGCGCAGTCTTGAGATAGTTCTCGAGCATGGCGAGGTGCTTCTGCGCGTTGGGGAAGAGGACGATAGAAAATATTTTGGAGGCGACGAGGGAGGTTAGAGGGCGGATTAGAAAGGGGACGTTGGATGATTTGAGTACTACAGGTCAATCCAGGTCAGAATCTCATATGGCAGAGGAGGACAGGGAGTGAGTTTGTAGACAAGGAAAGAGAGAATGGCTCACCATTAATGAGAAGAAACTGCACAATCACGGGAAAGAAACTCCCCTCAACATAATGCAACAAATACCAAAACCGCGCATACGCCTCCGTCTCGCCCCCGACTTTCCCCTCCCGCCCGGCCTTCCACCGCGGCGGCACGAGACCGGGCTTCCGGTGGCCAAAGTGCTCGACGAGATACTGAGTGATGTATCCGCTCTCGGCGAGTCGGATCGGTGCGGGGCTGGGGTCCTCGTCGGTTGATGCGGGTGTGATTTCGAGCACGGGGGCCTTGCCGAGCGGGTGGACGCTTTCAAGCTCGGGGGGCGCGAGGCGGTTGGGGGCGCGGCGGAATAGTTGGACTGTGTAGGGGATCTTGAGTTCTTCGAGAAGCCAGACGGTGTTTTGGGAGCGGGAGTCGTTGAGCCTTCGGACTGGTGAGTCTTCGTTGGAGGGAGGGGTTTGGGGTGTGGGATGACGGGGGGGTTACCAGTAGAGCTTCACTTTTGGCAGTTCTTCGGTTGCCATTTTGCAGGGTTGTTGTGATGCTGTAAAGGTTCGCGTGGTTATGAAGTTTCGAGTGAGCGCGGCGGGGGAAGCGAATCTGATGCGAGCGTGAGTGCCGGTGATGAGCTTCAGGCGGAGGTTCGGTGACGAGATGCTGCGGGTGGATGGTATTGAACGATGAAGGCTTCGTCCGAGGATCACAATTGAGCTCATGATGGATAAAATGTATGATGATGGTAAGATCTGGGGTATTTATTCTATTTCTTCCTCAGATTTTCGACGTTGATGCAGCCTGTCATGATTGGGTGGGCCGAGGGGTTTTGGTTTCCAGAATGGCATGTTTCCTTACGATTTCTCGCGTACTTTGTTCCCGCATTGTCTCCGAGGTGACGGGCAGCACAGTTTTCGTGTGGAGGATGTAAGACGGAGAGATCGGGGCTCTGGAAGGCCGATGGTGAGACTGTCGAACGGGGGCTTGAGCACCGTATAAGCCGACTACCCGCAGATGTCTCAATAACAATTCGATTATTAAAATAAGGCTTGCAAGACATGACGACAGGGTCGCTTGAGAATCTTGATTCGATATGTTCGGTGAGTGAGTTTTGGGGGTGTAAGCCGGAATGCGTTCCGTGCAGCTATCCAGATGCGGCATGAAGCTGACCATAAGCACCCGGATACTCCCGCAATTGGTCCCATGAGACGAACTGTTGAATTTAGTCGGGTGAGATATTTGATGCTGCAGGTGCAAAAAGAAATCGAAAGGTATGACTCAATGAAGACTCGAAAGCAGCAGCTACAGCTACTCGGTAGCTCTGCACTTCAGGATTAGGGGTATAACCATCTTAAGCTTCTGGGCAGGAGTCCCTTTTTGCGGCTGTAGCTGTTGGGGATTGACGATCGTTTTGCTCCCTATGACCCTTCCTTGCTGTGCCTCCTTGAGCCAACCCGTTGACTTATCACCCAGGATGATCTCCCATGTGTTCCAAGCTATTCGTCTGACTCGGCAAGCCAGCGAGATATGATCCGCATAGATCTATGGGACCCTCCAGATGAAGTGGCCAGCCCCATTCTCGATGACTAGAGAAGCCAAGCCTCACTAATGCCCGTCACGATATCCAGACCTACAACTTCCTCTTCACAAGCCCCTTCCAGAAATCAAAACTATTCTCATCACTCTGCAGCGCCCACATCCGCCCCGTCTCCCTCCCCATCCCATCCACCTCAACAGCCTTCAACATACCCCAGTCCCTCGTAATACCCACCACCTTCGCCTTAGCCCCCGCTTCAGCCTCGAGCGTGACGTTCTGCCCCGAGTGGAGCCAGTGCTTGTAATACCGCTCCTCGAGGTCGCGCGAGAACCCCTCGCGGCGGAACTGCGCGTACAGCGCCTCGATGCGGGTCAAGATCCGCGCCAGCAACGACTCGAGGCGGAAGCCGCCCGCCATCTTCAAGGGCGCCGGAGCGATGGCGTTGAGGGAGGTGGTGGGGCGCGAGTTCGTGGTGTTGATGCCGATGCCGAGGACGATTTGGTAGGCGCCTTGGGAGTAGGCGCAGTTGGAGAGGATGCCGCCGATTTTGACGTAGGAGGGGTCTTGCGGGGTTGAGGCTGGGTCGCGGCAGTCTTTGTTGTTGTCAGAGGATAGTGCTTTCATGAGTTTTGTCAAGAGTGTACTTACAAATATCGTTGGGCCACTTGAGCTTCACGGGAACGTCGCCGCAGGCTGTGTCGTACGACTTGACGGCCTCGACGATGGCGATGGCGGCGATGTACTGGATGAAGACGACTGGGTGGGAGGCGGCTAGGTGTGCCGGGTGGTTGATCACGGTAGAGAAGATGAGGCAGCCCGCTGGCGAGACCCAGACGTTGGTGCCGCGGCCGCGGCCGGCGACTTGGGTTGTGGCTGTAAGGGTGAAGCCGGTAGGGAGGTGGGCGAGCAGTTTGGGGTTTCTGGAAGACAGTTCTCGTTAGCTAAAAAGACTTCCCGTTTTCTTTTTCTCGTGAGAGTACGAAGACACAAAGAGAAGGGGGCCATACTTATCCATAAGCGTGTTTGTGCTGGTGACGACTTCGCCATACATGAGCGTATCACCCCACTCCTCCGCCGCAGGCTCAATCGCGCGATACTCCTTGAGAGAGCCATAGAACAACCGATGGTTGAAACTCGGCGTCTCCTTGGCATCAGGCCACTCCTCCTCGTGCGGGACAATTACCTTGACCAAGGCATCATAATCCACCATCCGGCCTTCTCCTGCGTCCCCGGAATCAGAAGACGGCAAAGCTTGCCTGAGCTCGTCGACATCCCACCGCGAAGACTGCTTCTCGATGCGGAATACATCGTGCTCGCCGCGGATGTACTCCTCTTTTTCATCGGCATCCTGGCCCTGGCCGGTCTCGCGGGTAATAGCCTCCTCCCAGGACGCGAGCATCTCGCCGACTTCGACGTGGTTCGCCGAGGTAAGGTGCATGCGGGAGAGGGAGGGCGGCGCGGAGGGGTCGGCGCTGAGGTCTAGACCGAGGCGGGAGAGGCATGCGCGGAGGAAGGTTACGCGGGCTGCGTCGGCTGCTGCAAGTGAGGACACGAGGGCTTCGTAGGAGGGGATCTGGGGTTGGGGGTTGAGGTTTGCCGCCGCGAATCTGTAGATTGTTAGCATACGGGTTCCTGAAAGGGGCATGGAACTAGCATACTCTGGATGAGGACCGGTCAAGATGACATTGCCCGAGCCGACTGTGCAGTGAATCACGGCCGCTTTCCCAGCTCCCCCATCAACGGCAATCTCATCAGCATACTGCGCAAGAACCTCCACATTCTCAAACTTTTCAGCATCAACAAAGACGCCTCCGCCATTATAATAACTCAACACTTCCTCCCCTTCCCCAAACCCCTCCTTCACACTCAACCTCACCACCCTCGCGCCCCTCTCGGAATGATACTCGAACCCCTTCAACGCACCACCCCTACACGTCCCCGGGAAGAACCCGAGCTCGCGGGACCCGATGACCTCGAGCGTCCGATCGCCGACCTCGAACTCGCACCGGCGGCTGCCGTAGTACCCGCCGGCGCAAAAGCCGAGGTAGGCGCCGCCGCGGCGGACGTAGTCGGCGATGCGGCGGTTCCCGGGGCCGTTGAGGACGCGGCAGTAGCCCAGGTCGCCGCCGCCCGGGATGACGAGGAGGGCGCAGGTGGGTTGCCAGGGTTCTTTTAGGAGGGCGGCCTCGGCGACGGGGATGACGGCGTAGGTTGGGGAGAGGAGGCGGCGGAGGGAGTAGATGCAGTGGCGGACCGATTCGACGGTCGTGCCGGTGCCTAGGGATGGACTGTGAGTCAAATCGTTCCACGGATAGCTAGAAAAGGAATTAGGTACCGGTGTAGACCAGCACGTTGAGTTTACGTGAGGCCATGGTGAGATTCTGTGAGTGAGGGCGATGAGGGATGAGATGAGTCTTGAGGTGGTGAGTGAGTTTCTGTAGCGAGTGTCGTTGTAGCTTCGGGGTTTGGTTCGGCACTGTCTTGGGACCCCCAACAAAGTTCCGGCGGTGTTAATTCGATTGAGAACGCACTTCGCACCTTGCAAAGCAATTCATTCACCAACACAGAACGACAACAACGTCTGCTGTACCGACCGACAAACGGCGCTGGTGAAATAGACGAATAGGAAAGATGTCCAAGCAGGAGAGCGACGCGGCGAAAAAATCGTCGACGGAGGATGACGAGCCTGATGACTGGTACGTAATATGAACCTCTCTTCTGCCCTTCTCAACTTGTCGAGTTTGTCTTGTCTCATACGGCAAATCTATGTCGCTCGCGATGTCAAAAAGCAGAAGCAGAAGAGGAAAACGAGCAGAAAGCAACAAGTAAACAAGAAGCAAAGCTAACGACCAGGCAGGGACAAGCGCATCTTCAGCACGGGTTGCGCAGGTACGCATCGATTCCTCTCTCTCCGGATCGCAGCGGAAAGATCGCGAACAGACAGTTGGATCACGGCGCTAACTCTGACCTCTCCCCTGGTCGGTCTATGCAGACGAGAATGCCAAGTTGACAGATTGCTATTTCGAGAAGAAGGACTGGCGGCAGTGTACGGCCGAGGTATGTCTGCTTATCTCGAATATGCTTCTCGTCTCGCAGCAATGAGGTACGTGATGAACTAAAGCTGACGATGATTGCTACTATCTTAGATGGAGCATTTCAAGAGCTGTTGGAAGCAGCAGGGCAACGATCGCCGGACAGACGCAAAAGATGCATGATTTGACGTGAGAATGAGTCTTTAGGTACTCGATCTCAGGCTTGTACGCCACTTGTATCAACAACTGTAAATACATCATCACGAAACGAATCGCAACTCATATCATTCTCGTTGATGATCTCACTCACTCACTGCCAGGCTCTAAGTGGACTGACGCCGACGAGAACAGAAAAAGTCGCTCGCACGGTGTTCTAGCTCCAAAGACGTGGCCCAAGCTCCCGCCTCCCGGGCGCCGCATTCACCCGCGCCGACCAAATTTCATCACTCCTCCTTCATCCTACACGCCGCCCCCGGGAGTCAATGAGCATCATCGACACCGCGCAACCCACAACCACACTCACCCTCCCCAATATCCTTCTCCCTCACGCGCGCGCGTGTCCCACAGCTCTTCGATCGACACCCGGACACGTATCCCAGCCTATCTCCCACGCCACTCACACTCCTCAGCCGAAAAGTTGCATCCTATACAGACCACAATGGCCTCCTTCACCATGCGCCCCCTCCTCCGCGCATCGCGAACAGCAACAGCAACACCCTTCACCCCCGTCGCGCGCATAGCCACAACATCCCGCTACAAAGCCGCCTCCGCCACCGCAGCCGCCCCGTCCCCCGCAAAGAGCACGACACCCTCAACCTACGCCAAAAAGGCACCCTCCCCAGCCGCGAAAGCCTCGAAACCATCCTCTTCCTCCTCAGCAGCAGCAGCAGCAGCAACAACACCTAAACCCACGCCCGCAGCACCGACGACATTCCCAACCGCACCAGCATACGTCCCTCCCACCCCTCAAACCCAGACCTCAGATACGCAACAACAGCAAACGCCGCAAACACAGCAAGCGCAGCAACAGCAGCCAATAGACTGGTCAACATCCTACCATGGCCTAGGCACAGCCCGCTTCCCCAAAGAAGTAGTCGACATCCTCCTCCAACCAGTCAACCCATCCGACGTCGAGGTAAAACCCGACGGCATAATCTACCTCCCCGAGATCAAGTACCGCCGCATCCTCAACCAGGCTTTCGGCCCAGGCGGATGGGGCCTCGTGCCCAAGGGTGACGTCGTGGTCGGAGAGAAGGTCGTCACTAGAGAATACGCTCTCATCGCGGAAGGACGGTACGTTTTCTTCTTTCACTACAACCTTTACCCCCACTCAAACCATCCTGAAATCGCATCAAGCACAGCAGAGCTAACACGACAATCCACACAGCTTCATCTCCCAAGCCCAAGGCGAAAACGGCTACTTCTCCCTCGAAAACCTCCCCTCCGCCGTCGAAGGCTGCAAATCAAACGCCCTCATGCGCTGCTGCAAAGACCTCGGCGTCGCCTCCGACCTCTGGGACCCCGTCTTCATCCGCCAGTTCCGCAAAGAGTACGCAGACGAGGTCTGGGCCGAGCACGTCACCACCAAGCGCAAGAAGCTCGTCTGGACGCGCAAGGACGTGCCGCTGGCGTACCCTTACAAAAAGACGAACTAGAAAGTGTCTGGCGCCCGAGGACGATGAACTTGGAGAGCGTGGAGCTTGGCGGACATGATGCGAGTTCGCAGAAATTTTTTGGAAGAAGAGACTTGTATAAATAAAACTAGATGGGCGGGATATGTGTAAGATGGGTCGCAAGAGTAGGAATCTCAATTGTAATATTAGACGTATATCATGGCCCTCCTCGGGACAGGGGCAAGGGCTGTAGATGCATAGACCATTGCATAGCGGTCAATCAAAACATCAGGACACAATCACGACAGAGGCCAATCTCTCAGGAACGGTGGTCGGCTGTTGAAAGCGACTCCCAGGTCTATTCAGCCCCCCTTTGGTTGGGAATCGTGCGGGAGCGCAGGCTTTTGCTGGTCCCGGAATGACATCCACTCTCGGGTGTATCATAAATCGACCATGACTCCATATCCCTCGCCCAAGCCGAACGTCTAAATCATGCAAAAGTCACCATAAACCGCCGCGCAAAGAACTCCATTTCCCATTGACAAACGCCGTTGTCATATCCGTATGGCCGGCAATCACTTGTGCACGCCCGAGCTGGATCCACCCTCGGGATTCTCAGCCGTCGGTGTAGCGCCCCATCCCCACGGCATCCATGACGAACCCCCGCTCGTCTGCCTCCGTCTGACGGATCCGTCTTCGTCGTCGCCGCCAAGGTCCTCGGCCCCGCTCTCGGCGTCAATCTTTTCGAAATCGGTCTCACTCCGCGATTTGCTCAGTCCGCTGTGCGCGCTTGGCGGTCTCTGCGTCACTTCCTCCTCCTCGTTGCCGTCGAGCTGCATGCTCCCCAGGGAGCGGCTAAAGGTTTCGGGATGCGCCGACGATGACGTCGCTGCCTCCTCACGCTCGAGGGCCTTGAGGAGGAAGGCGAGACGCTCACGCTGGGCTGCGATGAAGCTCGTTCTCTCGCCACCCTGGAGGTTCGGTGGGATGATGGAGCCGGACTTGGACAGGTCCTGGTGCTGTCCCCCACCGGTAGCGGCGGAGTATGCGCCGGCGAGGAGGTTGTAAAAGTCAGCGCCTGTGTGGCCTGCCGCGGCAGTGGGAGCCCAGCGCGCGGCGGGGACGCTAAACCGGGCGAGGAGGGATTGCGTGTACGACTGCGGCGGGTGGCCGGCGGGAGCGGCAGCGGCAGAGGGCTGGGGCGCGGGTTCGGGGTCGCCTGGGGGCAGGCCGAGGACGTTTGTCTTGATGAGCTCGATTGCGCGTTTGAGGTAAGCGATGCCGGCGGCTTTCAGTTTGTCGTGGGCCTCGGAGATGAACTCTTCGATTTGGGCCTCATTATCTTGCAGGAAGGGGTGGACGTGGGTCTGGTAGATGATGCGGGCGCCTTGGGTTTGGGGAAGGACGAGGTAGAGGAGGAACAGGAGGCGGATATAGGCGTAGAAGGGGATCCTATGATTGGTATTAGTGGTTGGTCGGAAGAGGGGAGACTGGATGTTGGTTGCAGTCTGCGAGTCAGAACGTACCAGACGAGGATCCATTCAGTCCAGGACTCAACGAGGAGTGCGCAGGCGAGGACGACCCAGTACATGAGCCATGGTGTCAGTTGGGCTGGGTCGGAGGTCTTGAGAGCCTTGTAAGAAGCAAAGAGGGGAAAGAGGAAGGAGGCGATGGAGCTGTGAAGTGGAATACCGTGTTAGTCGAGCGGTTCAAAGTGTCCCAGCATGGCTAAGGCTGAAGGTTGAGAGATTCAAGCCGCGCCGAGGGGATCATGGATGTCATGGAGAGACACTGGCACCCCATGCGCATGCTTGGAGGAGAGAGGAACTCACGATAAGAGGTGGGCGAATATGTCAAACATGGTTGTGATATGAGGGCTCGATAAGGTCGTCAAGGTGGAGAGGAGGTAGAGGTGTAAGAGGGAAGAAGAAGGTTTGCTCGGAACTAGAGAAGAGATGGAAGAGCGTTGTCGGCACAGGTAGCTTTGCACGGCTCGGTCAGCGCGCGCAGCTGTCGCAGGGAGCACAGCCGACGTCAGGCGGGGGGGCTGACGGTATGGGATGAGCAGCGAGGGGCAGCGTTTGAGGTCGCAAGGTGTGTCTAGCTTGATAGGTAACGTGTAAGTATCGGTAGGATTTCGACTATGAGTGTCAGTCAGCCGTGAGACGAGACACGGAGTGACAGACAGAATGGAAGAAAGAAAGAAAAGGGTTCAACCCAAAGCTGTGGAGGAGCAAGCAGATGGAAGATGCAGGATTGCGGATGCGGACGGGGTGTGTAAGGCAAGGTACACGGCAGCTTACACAGCAGACAGCACGCGGAAGCAGCAACCGGCGCTCGGTGCTCGCTGGGGGGGGCAAACCTAAGGTTCCTTAAGGTGGGGTCCCTGAGCACGAGGACAAAACAGGCGGGTGCAGCGGGCATCACGGGCACTTGCCGTTGGATCCAAGGGTTGAACGGCAATGTACCTGCCGCATAATATTAGGTGGGAAAGGTACCTTACATCGATTGACTACCTAAGGCGGGGGCGGCCGGTGAGATCTTGGCTTTGGTGCTTTCAGCGAGATGCAATGCGATTAGGTACCTCGGTGGACGTCATCGAGGGGCTGGATAAGGTGCGATAAGGTTGTCGTCGGTGTCAGCTCGGGCAGGTGATAAGCCGATAACGGTAAACGTTCAACGGATGAGGTAAGCTGCGGAGTGGGAGGGAGCTGAAACCGGACAATTGGAAGGAAAAGAAGACAGGGAACCTGCTGATTCGTGACACCGCTCTCATCTCATCTTCCCAACTTAAGGTCGTCTTTCTACTTGCTCTACAAGGCTCATCGAGGTTAGAGACGGCCCTCTAAGTACTCACGAGACCTTCTGGTCACCGTGTTTCCAACGGCCCCTGTTTGGCATAGATGGACATGTGTTGATTCGCAGCAAGGTCTGGTTCCTGGCTTGACTCACCGAGCAAACATGTTCCCTCCATCCAACGCGTCTAGATACCTCCAGTCCTTGACTACCGTCTACAGTCTACCTATACCCAAATACCTACAACATCCACCGATACAGGCACCGTGTTTTGCATCCAGGCATCCCCCGTATCTGAGCGCCATGTGACGTCCGCTAGCGCCCTTCGGTCCCGCCCGACGATCGGGGCCTTGTTCCACCTTGCCGCTACTCTCCGCATCTTGCCGCTGTGGGACACAACCCACTCATGGATGCTCCATCTTCACCTTTCACCGAGACTTCGGTTGTCTGTTGGATCACCATCGCGAGATCAAATGCCAGATACCCGGGTCCTGGTGTATGATGCGGACACGTTGTCGATGGGAGATGCCACTTCTCGCCTCATGTCAGCGTGGCATTCGTGGCCCACGTACGCAATGCTCTTACCCAGGCCGCCGGTGCCTGATGTAGCCAGCCATCACGGCCGCGTGCAATTCCTAGGCACCGGCTTTCTGCAATGAGAATAGGTTGGCCATGTCTATTGAGGACACGGTCAACGAGGAGAGCCACCGGCTGCCAAGTCTCGAAACCATTCGTACTGAGATCCACCAGATCAAGCAACCCATCACTTTCACTTCTACCTTTCATGCCATGAATTCCATCGAAGACTTGAGTCAAAGTATACGATAGAACACTTGCAGTGTGCAGTTTCACCATGCTCTATTGTAGTCTAATAACTCATCATCTACAAAGTCTGGTTTGAACCAGACTTTCTCCTCTCAAATCGCCCTCAGTTATACGCCACCACATTATCAATGGCACTCTTATTCAGCCCAGGCCAATGCTTCTTCCCCCACGTAAACCACAAACTCACCGCCCCAACCACAACAACGACATAAATCGGCCCCGCATAATTCATCTCCGTCCCCGTCACCGGAATCGTCTGCGGGAACGGCAACCACACGCTCAAATACATCGACCACAGCAGCGCATACACATTAATCGGCGTGCCCCACCCCTTCGGCAACGACCACCCGCCATACTGCACCTGATACCCCGGCCCGTGTCCGATGCGCCCCGTCAGCCGTGCGTGGAGCATACAGGATATGGCAATGATGTACGACCCGTACAGCCCCAGCGACGAGAGCGCAGTAAACGCCGAAAACACCGTCGCCGTCGCGTTGTTGCCCACCGTGAAGAGCGACAGGCAGGTAACGATGACGCACGGCAGCCAGACGGAGCGGATGGGTACGCGGTGCGTCGGGTGGATCTTGGCAAAGTACCGCGGCAGGCCGCCGTCGCGGGCCCAGGCCCATGTGATGCGCGACACGGACGCCAGCGAGGCGGCGACGACGCAAAAGGTGATGACAAGGAGACCGACAACCATGGCCGTGCCGGCTGCGGGACCCGCGGCGTTGAAGAGTAAGGGGATGATGGGGTAGTCGGAGCTCAGAATCGCCTCCGTCGTGGCCGGGTCGCCGCCCATGCCAAACAGGATGGCGAGGATAATCCCATACGAGAGCACGCCGTTCAGTATAATCGTCCACAGCATCGCGCGCGGAACAGCCTGCTTCGCCTTCTTCGTCTCCTCCGCCATGTGCACGACGCCATCAAACCCAATGAACCCCCACGCGGGTACCAACATGCCGATGTTCCAGCTCACAAAGCCATTCGTCCACCCCGAAGAAACAGTGCGCTCGAAGAACACAAACTCGGCCGAGGCGCGGGGCGCGAGCGTCAACAGCACGACGACGAAGACGAGCCAGAGGACTACATGTAAAACGCCGGCCAGGAGCTCCATCCAGGGGATGGTGCGGAAGGCGTACATGTTGATGAGGGCGCAGGCGACGAGCTGAGCGATGATGACCATGGTGATGTGCCAGGGCTGGAAGGTGTACGAGGGGTAGTTTGTGCTGACGAGGCCGATCATGATGTTTGCTTCCGAGGCGGCGGAGCCCGCGAGGGCCGAGACCCAGGCGAACCAAGTTACCCAGCCCTGCATCCACTGCGAGTCGTCGTTGTCAGTTTGGATGTCCATCTATCTTTCTCAAGTCTCGAGCAAGGTGAGAGGACATACCGTGATGAACCGCCGGTGCTTCTCTGGCGCAAGGAAATGCGTCCAGTGATACTGCGCACCCGCAATGGGCTGAATAGTCGCAAGCTCAGCCATAGAAAGCGCCTGCGCCATGGCGCCGACGACGACGAGAACAATACCCCACGCCAGCGTCTGCGGTCCGCCGTTATAGAACGTCGCTCCCATGTCCATTGCCATGACCTCCCACGAGGACATGAAGATCAGGGCAAAGGCTAATAGTTGCCAAAAGGAGAAGAGACGCTGGCAGCAATCAACCACGTTAGTCGCCGTTCGTGATATCGGTAAGGAAGCTTGTGACTTACCCTCAGCGTCGAATCGCCCGTGCTGCCATCGGTCGTGTACGGATAGGCGCCGCTCTCGTGGTGGATATTCTTGGTGCCGTCGTCTATGTTGCCCGAGGAGCTCGTCGTGTTGACGGCGTCGTAGCCGCCCTTTTGCTGCTGCATCTCAATAAGGTCCGCTTTTGCCATGATTGCCACCCTTGTACCCCGTCCCTTTCTCAAGCCACGAAAGTCAGGAATAGCCCAGGTAGAGAAGCCGTCGATAAACCGACTGGCCAGCAGAGGAGAAGAACAGCGGCGCAAGAACCTTCTTAAACATCACCCAAGAAAAAAGGAAAAGACGGGCGCAATCTGTGTAAATACCATCATGCAGGTAAGGATACACGCCAAGACAACTAGGCGATCTGGACCGGCAGACTTAGACTAGACATGCAGTCCCCTCTCGCACCAGTCCGACTCGAGATGCTCGGTACGTGGTGCGATGCGACCCTGAGACCACTTGTTCCCAGGGTATCGAAGGATATCATCGCGATCCCATTGGTGTCGCTTGTATGGTTTCACTGAAGAAAGCTCCCATTGCTCCCATGGTTCCAAGCTCCCCCCACCCGGGGCCTCGCAACGGAATCCGATCAACGCTAGCAAGGGGGCGTTTTGGTGATTGCCTAATCTTTATTTATTTTTTTCGCCACGATTATGAGCCGCGGTGGGGTTTCTCGTGAATCTGCAGTAATGTCTCGGGCGAATCTTGTGGGAAAGAAGGAAAAAATGGCCCAATGTAAGTTGCTGCATGGGGGGTTGAGGTCACATTGCGATACCTAGTGCATGATGAGCTCGGCTTATGTTCGACGAGTAAATTTGTGGGTAACACTGCTAGTGGCAACGGCTGAACTAAACTTAATCTACCAAAGATTGAACTTTTGCGGGTTGCCTACTTTTCTTTGTGGAATCTATTGTATGTGTATAGCTGGTCGTCAGCATTTGCGATGAAGCGGAAATCGATTGAGCTACTTTGATCTCTCTCTCTTCAAGTCTTCTCGACTCCAGAAGAGTATTCGTCTGAGATCATTTCAGAGCGGAGCGTGTCGATAGCGAGACCCATCTGGGGGACAAGTACGCAAAGACTTTCGACCTTTTTCGAAGTTTCTTCAAATCTGTGCTGAAACCCTTTGCAACTCAAGATGCAATGCATTGAATTCAGTGCTGGTGCGGCTTTGGAGATCGTCCAGGGCCAACTGAGAAGCCATAGGCTGCTGGGTAATGTTCGCCATTCTGAAGCGTGGGTAAATAGTAGAGAAAACGTGAAGGTAAGCTGAGAGTGGATATCTGAATGCTGCTGGGCTTGATTGCGCGTGGATGCAAGATTATTGAAGAGGAATGAACCAGGAGAGGAGAAAAATGGCGAGAGTTATGACTCTGAATCATTTGCTTTCCCTTCATCAAGGTATGCCTTCCTTCCCTTGAGGAGGAGGTAAGGAAGGGAACTTCGGTTCCTAGTCCCGCCATTCCACCATCACCAACTCACCCTTCAACACCCTTAATGAGATCAGCCGCATACTCCGCAACAGCATACACAGTAGCCTGCGTATGCGCCGCAGGCAACATCGGCATAACACTCGCATCCACAACCCACAACCCCTCGACGCCATACACCCTCAACCCACTATCTACAACGCCCCCCAGATCCCGCGGCATCATCGCCGCCGTGCCGACCGGGTGATCGAAACTCGGAGACAGCCACGACTCCCGCATGAGGGTCTCAATCTCAGCGTCGCTGGTGACGCCCGGGCCCGGGAGGATCTCCACCGCGCCGAGCGTCTCGACGCTGGGACTCGCCATGAAGGCGCGGGCTTTGGCGACGGCGCGGAGGAGGAGGAGCGCGTCGATTGGGTTCGAGAGGGCGTTGAAGTCGACTTGTGCGCCGCCTGCGCCTGGGAGGGAGGATCCCGGGTCGGGGTTCGTGCTGTTGATGGTTATGGTGCCGCGCGAGAGGGGTTTCTGGAGGGCTACGGGGACGGTTTCCGCGCCGCCCCAGGTGAATTCCATGACGCCTGCCTTTGGATTGCGGAATCTCTGGCTCAGGATGTCACGCTGGCGGGTGAAGCCCTCGAGAAGGGCCGGGTTCTCGGCGTAGACTTCGGGGAGATGCTGCAGCGGGTCCTGGGCTGTGACGGCGTCCGCGATGGCTTCGTAGTTGTCTGGATCCAGGTCTTGGAGGGATGTGAAGACGACGCGGTTTCCCCAGGCGTGTGTGTGTGGCCCGGTTCTGTTGGCTTGGTACTCTGCCCAGGACTCGTTGTAGAAGGTTTCGTTGTTCATGAGGGTTGGGTTGATAGATGTGTCGTTGGCAACTTTGCGAAGAGACGTTAGCCTTTTGAAGGGAGTTCTAAAGTGGCTGTTCAACTTACAGTCGTAGACCATGAAGATGGAAGGATGGTCCTGGAAGTTCGCACCAACGCCCGGTAAGTCGACCACCACGTCAATATCCAAAGACTGCAAGAGCTTCTGAGGCCCGATGCCACTCAATTGGAGCAGTTGAGGGGTGTGTACTGCACCCGCGGCGAGCACCACGTTCGGAGATTCCACGAACTTGGTCTCGGATCCATCACGACTACCAATCACTACGCCGGTCGTGGTGTTGCCCTCAAATCTTATCGCCGCACCGTAGTGACGTATAAGTAAATGCAAGTTCTCGCGGGCGCTGACGGGGTTGAAGTACGCAGTCTCAGCGGTTGATCGAGTCGCATTAGGACCGCCAGAGTTCTGCGGGAGCCACGCAATGCCGACGTTGTCATCGTCGGCACCGTCTTCCAACGTGGGCACTTTGATGTCCTGAGCCCATGCTTGCGCCATGAGAGCTGTCCATTGACATTAGCAAATCAAGCAGCGAGGACATAACTCCGTCAAGAGGGCACCTCACCAGACTCTGGCCACTGCCACGAAGGAAACCCGACCTGAATGGGACCATCGCCATACGCATTCTCGCTCCATTCGTACCCGCACTCCTCGACATACTCATCCGCAGGCGGCGCGAACGTAGACGACTTTTGGAAATATTTGAAAAGGGTCGCCCAGCCCCAGCCGGGGTTCCCAAGGGCCTCCCATGCATCGTAGTCGGCTTCGGAGCCACGGTCCCAAGCCATTCCGTTGACGGTGGAGCCTCCGCCGACCACGGCACCGATACGAAGGCGGGATGTACGATTACCAAGATGAGTTTGAGGGACGGACGTCACGTTGTAGAGGCGCGCCGATTGGTCATATGTTGCAAAGTAGGGCACGGTGACGTTGATCGTGTTGGCAAAGTCTCCGTATTCGACGACTAGTACCGTTTCTAAGGATACACACAATGAATCAGCATCAGACATGCTGGTGTTGAGACTATTGATGACGCCGAGACTCACTTTCGGGGTCTTCGCTCAGTCTGTTGGCGACGACGAGGCCGCTTGTTCCGCCCCCGACCACGATGTGGTCATACTGCTCACAGATTGAGTCGAAAGTTCTTTTGACCTGCTCAGTATGTTGGCCTAGCACTGAAGCTGTCGCGAAAAGGAGTCCGATCAATAGTTTAGACGCCATGCTCGGTTCGGAGGTTGAGGAAATCGGAGGCGAACCTCGTGCAAGGAAGAATAACGACGACCGGCCTCAGAACAACTCCCCATCTCTGACGGAAAGCCCTTACTTTAAGTACGTTGAAGCCAGTTCTTTGGCGCAATCCAACAATGACTGAATGAACATCTGCTCACCTTGCTTATTTAAGAACCCCGCACCGGTGATGTGCCAATGCAACATCCCAACTGTAGTCTGCAGTGCGACATGCGAATCGGTGGGCTGGGCCTCGGAATAGGCTACTAGATGCAGTGTGCTGAGTTCTGTCACAACGGAGTAATGATACATCGACGGAGGTTGTACCGATTGTGGTATGATCTCACTTTGCATTGCGGGTAAGATTTGCATCGGTGAGCGAAAGAGCCCCCAATTGGGTGACAAAATCGATTTCCTGCTATTCATCTTAATAAGTACCCCTTTCACTACTCATATCATAATTACTATCCCTTTCTATATCGAGGTTCTTCTTGGGTATATGCGTGGAGAAATACACTCTGTTTGATAGATGTCAATGCTAGTGATGATAGTGGTGGAACTGCTTGTCGCATGTGTCGAGCGGAAATCGATTTTGTCACCCACTGGGCCCCATCTTACTCAAAGCGACCAGTGAACTTTCCACACTTCAAGAAAGCACAACCCGTATGTCATTAGTCTGAGAACAACTACTCCATTCATTGTGTTATTTCATCTGATCCAACCCGTCTCGCATCTGTCATTTGCTCTGGAGTGGGTTGCTGCCGGCCCTTTCGAGGCAATGGCTTCCTCATATCCTCCACTTCGCGATCCATCCAGATTGCCCGAGCTTCCATACTCACTCTCAACGCTCCATCCTACAGCCTCTCTTGGAGTCGTTTCGCCGCTCCCGCCTGCAGAAAAGCTGTACGCCTTACCAGTATATCCCGGTGGTCGAGGCCAGACCTTTGGCAAGGCCGAGAGCACGCTGCTCATGCTTCTTTTCTTGTGGACGGGCTGAATGACAACTCGCACCTGCTCTTCTTCGGAGCTTTTGCCACTGCTGCCTTCGGTTTGCGGGGTTTGACAAGGTCCATCGTAAACTAGAGCGTTAGACATCGGTTGATTATTCATAGCGGTAGCAGCTATGGCAGATGTCGTGTCACGGTCGTCTTCGTTCAAATGGAGATGTCGCCTGCGTTTGGACCTTTGTCGACGTATGCAGAGCAATAGCAGGATCAGAGCTGTGAGAGCAAAGGTTGCGCCTACAGCGACCCCTGCAATTACTCCAGGACTCAAGGATGGCCTGGCAATGCGCTCAGTCGGAGGAAGAAGAGTTTCCGTAAAGGGTGGAACAGCCTTCGTCAGAGTTGATCTAAAAGAGGAACTACTGCTCGTTTCGGGCCAAAGCCTTGCTGAAGTACCGTCATTGGTCACCCGCGATGGAGTTGGAAGTACTGAGGATGATGTAAAGGTACTGCGAGGAGTATCGGGTTCTGAGCGGATTCGACTGCTCTCAGGCGCGTCCAAGGTGCTGGGGGCGACCGAAGGCTCTTGGGGCTCAAGGGGTTTTGGCGTCGTTGTCGTGACAGAAGGAGATTCGGGGCCTGTGAGCGATGCTGTCTGCTGAGCGCCATCGCTGGAGATGGCCTTCTGAGTGGCCCGTGGAGATGTTGCAATCGCAGGTGAGGTGGAAACTCCATCATCAATGGGAAGGGTCGTGGTTGTAAAGATCGTCGACGTCAGAATGGGCGTCTTCGTCACAGAAACGAATATGGGTTCGAAGATGGTGACAGTGTGGACGATGGTGCCGCTCGCCACTACTGTGGTCGTGATCTCGATGGTGACTACGGAAGCCCTATTGATTGAACCTGGGATCTGCCTCCGAACAGGAGCCGGGTGCGATGAGAGGCCAGCACCTTCATGGTAGTGCGTGTCGATCGAGGATATTTCGAAAATCGCCGTTTGATCCGATGCGATGGCGTCTGCCGCATCTCTCACTGCAATATTTCGAGGTTGCGACGCGGTAACGATATTCGTCTCGAAGACCAGGGTGGGATTGATGAAAGTCAAGGTCTGCTGAAGAGGCGCCCAGATCACTTCGGTTCGGCTAGCAAGCTCGACAGTCACCGTCCGGACAACAGTGACGGTGGTGACTTGGATTGACGCTTCGGCGGGTGGCCTAGACCATATAGTTAGCATCCATTTGCGCGCAGGAGGTTTTGTACTTGCGTCAGGTTTTGCCTCGCCCACATCTGGTGGAGCGATATATCATCCTGCAGCTGGCTTGCCTGCTCTTCTAGCGCGACTTCTCCGGCCGAAGCGGTCTCAGACTCCTGGGGAGCTGAAGTCGTTGCGAGAGTCTGCAAATATCCTTCATCCGAGAGTGAGGTCAACGATGGCTCAACAGCAGAGTGACAGAACGCGGCGAGATTCGTATTGGCGACGGCTGATCTCATCAGAAAGAAGATGAAGCTGCGAAGCTTCGCCATGGTTGCTAGATGGATCGCATATCCTTTAGAACTCTCAAGGAACTGAGTCAAGGAAAGAGGTTTGAGGAAAAACGGGAAAGAAGGGGAAATGAGAGAAAGAGTAGGTGATGTTGAAGCGCAATAGGCGAACGAAAGTAGAAGGCGAGCAACCTTGAAAATTGAGAGGACTATACAAAGCAGGAGTGAAAGTGGGAAGGAAGCAAGGTACTCAGACAAAGGCAAGTGAATGCGGCAAGATGCCGGATAGGCCTTCCTTCCTAATGCCACTGGCCGTTGAAAGAGAGGAAAGAGAACCTTGGAGGTAGTTACATGAGGAGAAAGCTGGACCGGAGGCTCACTGCGAGTACCCTCGTGTGACTTCATGCACTATGGAGAAACATTACGATTGGCCTCTTCTGCCGTTCTTGGTAATGCCGTGAGACAGTAAGTAACATGGGGGACCAAGGACTCGGGCCTTCTATCTTCAACCTGGTCGCTGGGTTTCGATGGAGGAGGGCTTTGTGTCTGGCCTTGACAGAGCACTCTGGGATATTGCGATACTTTCAGAGCAAACCATACATCCATCTCTACGTCAGAGCCTCTAGGACTGAGGCCTTGCCGACATATTCTGTGGCCTGAGTTCAGGTCTGAAGCTAGGCTTGACTCCAAGCAACGCAGTGAGTAAGGTAGGAAGGCAATTCATCCTGGGTGAGACTTCAATCGTAACACTTCTGATGCGTTTAGCTCGTCCATCCCGAAGATAAAAGCAATCATGAGATAGATGGGAGATTCTCATACGACGCTCAAAGATCGGGATGAGGTGAAATTGGGATCCAATGTCCTTCCCATCCGAGAGTCAATATCGCCGGCCTCGCCTTAGGTAGTATGGAGGGGAACCTATGGGAAAGAATATGGTAAGCTTTGAACTGTGGAGAAATCAGCCATGTCTGGCTTTGTAGCAACATGTTGGTCACAGCGGCTTCAGAATAGAGACATTGCAAGAAGAAAGCGGTGCAATTTGGTATGACCAAGAGATTCAGAGTGTCCCCAGAGCTTTGACCCCTGATGAAGCAGATACTCGGCTTAGTAAGCACGAGATTCACTCCTAATGTTCGGCTCCATGCCCCGCCATGTCAAAGACAATGAGATGCCAACCAACCATGAGCACAGGACGGCAACGAACAAGGCGCAAAAGCATTGTCATGAGAAATCGATTGAACAAGAGGCTGTCTAGACCTAGTTGTCTGCTAGCCTGCTAGGCGCGTTTATTTCCTCCTGATACCATGCCGATAACCCTCATATCAGTTCCACGCCCCATGCACTTTCAGCGGAAAGATGACGTTCCTTCCAGGACACAAAGCAGGTGATGGCCGAGAACTATCTTTGTTTTCTTCTGCAAACATTTGCACTGCCCAAGAGTGAAGGGATGTTCCCTCTGGATCCTAATGTCATCAGACGAACGTAGCTTTCCTCGGTAATCGCAGCCCGACAAAGATTGTCCGAGAATCGACAGCTCAAGCACCATACTGGGCAAAGGCATCCACAATCCTCTGTGGCCAGCTGTGTCTCGGAATTGTCTGAAAGTGGTTATAGAGCAGCTTGCGAACGAGACCATTGCCCATCTCTCGGTACTCCAAGTCCGAAGGCGACTCATGGTCCTGGGCGCCAGGCATTCTGACCCATCCTTCCTTTCGGTTTGAGGTCATGGTAATCTTCTCCATGGCATAGAAATGCTGCTGGTGGGCCGTCGTCGTGTAGTTACAGTCCAGCGCACGAGCGGCGAATCGCATGCTCACCATGGCCGCCAGCACATGCTCGTTCGCATTGGAGGATCGATCGGGAATCAGGTGCATGGTGCGCTCGACAAAGAGCCTGTACCACGCGTAGTCCGAGTTGAACTGGCAGCCGAGCAAAGCGTCCTTGAGGCCTCGCTCCATGGAGAAGGGGGCGAAAGCAGCCTTTTGCCAGGAGACGATGCCGGCCAGCTGGAGTTCCTTCTCGGGCTTGCCGTCGGCGGAATCGCTGGCGGGCTTCTCAACGAGCTTGACGAGAATGTTGCGGGGCTCGAGATCCATGTGGCAGAGGACGAGAGCCTTGCTGAGCTCCTGGATCTCTCTGCACGTGAGAAATTGGGCGTCCATTAGATGATTCGCGCCAAAGAAATTGATGCAGAAGCTGCCGTCTTCGTGCTCTGTAAAGGTGGTGGCTGGGAGGTGGCCGCGGGCGGGACGAAACTCATTGGCGTAGCGCTGGAGAAGGAGGCAGACGCGCTTCAGCGAGGTGAACTGCGGAGGCCAGGCGGGGAGTTGGTCCAGGGGGATCGGCTCGGGGGTCTTGGGACCGTTGAGGACGACGGGGGCGGTGTAGTCGATGTTGCCGGACACATCGACGGCCCTGAGCGCCTCTTCAATATCCTTCTCAGAGAATCCGTGTTCCTTCTGGAGGGTTTCCAGTGCAGTGACGAGCTGGCCCATGATGCGGTCCTGAGACTGGGGAGTGAGGGAGGACCAGACCTTGTCGAGGGTCACTGTGTTGGGGATGTGCTCTGTCACGATGTAATCGACATCGCCATCATCCGTCTCGTAGACACCAACACGGATGACGCGGGGGACCAGACCCGGGAGCCAAGAGCGGGCAATCTCCTGGCAACGGCCGGCCGCATCGAACGTGGAGACATTGCCGACGGGGTTGGTGATGTTGACAAAGACGCTAGCGTTTATAGGGCTGGGGCCTAACTTGACGTCGAGGATGAGCTGCGTGGGGACGCCGGGCTTGGGAGGCTCGTCAAAGGTGAGCTTGTAGGCGCGGCGAGCGATGAAGGGCTCGAGAGGGTGAATGAGGTCGACGCTGGAGGGTTTGGCTCCCCACAAGACGTTGGGAATCATCTTGTCGACGTACTCGCGGTATCTAACCTCGAGCTGTCTGAGGTTGACGCCTCCTCTGTCGGCGAGAATGGAGAGCAGTTTGGGGTCAGTCGGGACGACCATGTTGGAGCTTTGGGGATGAGCGATGGTGAGAGCTGATGTTGGGATGGATGCCTTTTCTTGCTGTATCTGATGATTTGAAGATGAGAACATGAAGGTTTGATCAGGTTGTGGGCGAGAGTGAGGTACTCACAATTTGAAATCTCGAACACCCTGCAGTTGGAAGGCACCTGGAAGTAGAGCTGCTGAATTCCACCTTGTGACTGGCAAGCTTGAGAAAATCGAAAACCAGGTCGAGAAAAAAGAGAGTGCGAGCCGCTTGAGTATTTTGGAAGGAGGGGAAGTAAGTCCAAGGCTGAGGCGAGGCGGTCAAGTTGAAAAGAATGGCAACAAACGGACGCCAGGATAAACAGAGGCGTATTCGGGTCCCAAGATGAAGGAAAATGATGGGCGTGGGCTCAGGAGTGTGTGTTCGTCGAGTGCTTGATCAGGCATCAGGCAGAGCAAACGGAGTAAAGGTCCGCACATGAAGGACGTTGACGTGTATGTAGGAACCCGGGGCAACGGTCTGTTGCATCTTTTGGATGATTCACTCGAATCTCACCCCGAGCCATTCACCTTTGGTATGTTCACTTAGTCCAGGTGGAAATTGCTCCTAGTGAAGTCTGGCTATCGACGCCGACTGGTGTTCTCATGATAGCAAGACTAGTATCCAAGCCTGCTCATGAAAGCTTAGTGGTTATGTATAGCAATTATCGAGCAATGGCATCATACCTCAGCATGGCAAAGCCTAGCATACCGGCCGCTCTCTCAGAGAAGCAAGACAGACAGTCGCTCTGATGGGAATGCATGCAAGCGGCCCGGCTCATGATTTTAATCAAGCATCAGCGGAGCCCGCACCCACAGACCGGGATCAAGAGATGTTACGGAGACGACCAAGGTCAAGATCCTACTTCTTGCGCGGTAACGTCTACCGTTGGCCAGAGGCCAGGACGTTCAATGACATGACTGGATATACTAGCTTGAACATGGGCAGGCGCATGCAAGCGATGCATGTGTTCTTGGAGCCATGGGGAACTTAGGATCCTTCAAACTACACAATAGAGGAATTGCTGCCTTTGCCTCCCCACAGCCGGTCAAAAGATTCAGTAGAATGACGCATGGCTTGCTAGCATATGAGATTGTTGATTGAAGCAATGTACGAGAGTAAAGTAAATGCAACCAGCGGGTGCAGAAGCAGTGTAAGATAGCTTACCAGCGGGCGCTGCCGGAGAGAATGTCAGAGATCCATGTCCGCATTAGGGAGAAAGCTAATCGTGCTGTACACAGGGTGTAAACCCAGGATGCCACGCCACGCGAGCCAACCGTGCCACCGTCGTCAAATGCTGACCAGAAAGATGTGGGCACAATTGACAGTTACCCGTCCCGCTGTCATGCAATTGCACCGTTCACACATGGGCTGACATAGCAGGATCTGGCCATGGAAATGGCCCGATGTAACCTGGGCACAATGTTGGAAATGAAGCTGCTGCCATTGGTCGAAAAGATCTCTAGCCAATGAGAGGGTAGCTGATGACCTAGAGCAGGGATCACCCACCATGATGGGCAGGAACCGTGACGTCGGGACTCGGCCCCTCCGTCCCTGCATCGCAGATGCTTAAAAGGACCCCTCTGCGACTGCCTTTTTGGATGTTGTTCCCTCCGATACAGATCAATTCAGACCAATTCCACCCAAGACAACTCTCACATCGCTCCCGACTTCTTCTACATTCAGACTCAGTTCCTACTTGCTATCCTACCCTCTACCAACCTCACTTTCCCACCCAATAGTCAAAATGACTGTCACCAAGGCTTCCACCTGCTGCGGCAAGAGCGCCGAGTGCGTCTGTGGTATGTACTTCTCATCCCCTGATCCCCCGATCCCTCAACTTCAACATCATCTCGACATCTCTCTCGTCCTTCAACACAATATCATTCTCAAGCCATCCATAACCGACAATGACACTACCAAAACTTTACAAGCTGACCCGTCTTTCTCCTCAGCCCAGCAAGCTACCTGCTCCTGCGGCAAGCAGTCTGCCCTCCACTGCACCTGCAGCAAGGCCGCCTCCGAGAATGCAGTCGCCGGACCCCGCTGCTCGTGCAGAGCCCGTCCTGTTGGAGAATGCACTTGCGACCGTGCCGCCACAGAGAACACTAAGCCATCCGGCGAGACCTGCTCCTGCGGATCTCGTCCCGCAGGTATGTTGATTGATCTTCTTCCCCTCGTTCGCATGATGGCTAACACCCTTCTTAGATGCCTGCACATGTGATAAGGCAGCCACAACCACGTATGACCGATCTGAACACGAGATCGACTTCACCACCCGCCAGTAACTTCATCTCCCCTGCAAAAGTATTCGTAGCATTGGGATCGGCGTTCAAGGGTCTTTGGGATTAGTGGTGCGGCCCGACGGCGATGGGTCCGACGACTGAGGACAAGGCGTTAATGGTTTATGATGGCACGGCTGCTTTGGAGCGCACATTGGGTACTGGCCGATAGGACTGGCCAACAGTCAACATGAATACCACACAGATTCTCAACATTTCTTACTGGATATCGGATCTTTTACGCGAAGAGCTCGTCTACTGCTGCCTCCTACTAGCGTTTCTCTTCTATGACCCAACCATGACCGTATTGCTCTGCCGTTTGGTATGGCGCTTCTACCGACCAGTTGTTCTTCCGGCATACGACTTCTTGTTCGGATGGATTAATAGATGGCTGCGAGAAGTTTGGGGCCGCTGCAGGCGTTGGCAGAAAGAGCAACAGGGGCTTTGGACAGAGCGACTGAAGCTCTGGATGTGGTTGGCGAATCCGAAACGCGTCTGGAAGATGCTCGTCATGTTCACGGCTTTCTTCAAGGCCAACTACTTAGGCAAGGGCTTCCTCAAGGTATTGGGCTTGTTTGTACCCGAGCCCACGGTTGCGCAGCCAGTCAAGCCATTGGAACCCGGAAAGGTCAAGGAATCTGGAGAAAAAGAGAGACTTGAAACGATATTGGAGGTCGATGAGGAGGGGGGGTCTGACCAGGTCGCGAGGACTGACGAGGTAGAAAGGCCTGACGAGGTAGACGAGCCTCCTGCGCCGGCTCCAATTCGACCTCAGCAAGACGGTGGCGGAAACAGGGGGAAGAAGCCGAAGAACAAGAAGAACAAGAGAAAAGGGAAGCGCTGAGAGAGTCACTCCGACCAAACCAACGATTGGCGGTGTCGACATGAACTCGAGACGAGATTGATATCCATGCGACAGCGATTTGCGGATACAAGACACCAGCGATAACAAGTATTCCACCCAGTAGCTAGCGACAAGAATCAACATAGCATTCATTGATCATCACTTTTCAAGTTGGACATGGCAAGATGATTTGGCTTCATTTTCAGTAACGAGTCCAGTATACCATGCTTTACTCCCGGTAATGTTAGGGGCACCGTGTGCATCGCCATCGGTGCTTCCAGATGTCAAACTTTCCAGGCCTTTTTTTTTCCTTTGGGAAGATGCTGTTGATGATCAAGGTGAATATCACCTTGGATGCCGTGGACACTGAAGTGGACGGTATCTCATCTGGGAGGATGTTATGAAGTGTGGTCTGAGGCAATTCTGTGAGGAAACCCTGGCAAGCGCGCTTCATCGACTTACACACTGACCAGTAAGACGCGGCTCTGTCCAAGCGGTCTCAACCAAATAGCTGGCGGGACCGATAGCGCATTATTACGAGCTCGAACACTGTTAAGCAACAATATGGACCTCGGAAGCAAAACATAGGAGGCCGATTCTTTTGTCCAGCCGGGCACAATTTCGCGCCAAATTGCAAAGAAATGAAAGAAAGCCGACTCGTCGTGGCGTGGGGATTCTGGGGGCATCGGCAGACGACGCGAGGTTTCCCCGACTCACCGGAAGGGAAGGACCCACCCTTGGATTTTTCGAATGATTTTTTTTTTTTTTTTGTTCTTGCCGGGCTCTTCCTTTGCGCTTGCCTTTTCTGCCGGAGAACTGCAAGAAAAAGGGCAGGTGCGACCGGGCGGTCAGGAGCTCTGTCATCGATCGCAGCTTCCCATTGGAACGTAACTGCACCCGGCCCCGGGAGCTCGGGCCATAGCTGCGCAAAAAACGGCCCAGAAGGTCAGGTACCCATGGAAGGTACCCACCCGGGATCGCACTAGGGAAAAAGGCAGCTGCGCAAAGAACGAACCTACTACGTACCGGCCAGCAGCGCACCGCAGCTAAGCCCGCGCTGAGAGCCACAAAGCGCCACCCCTGCTTGGTCAGAATTCCAGAGCCCAAGAAAATAAAGCTGCACCTTCCGGTCGCGTCACTTCCGCCCTACCCTCGAAACAATTTCTTTCTTCCCCCCATACCCAGAACAATCCTCCTCTTTTGACTCTCTGCTTTCCAAGTTCTTCATCTCGATTGCATCAATTCGCATCACAAAGAATCGATTCTTCAATTGTTCTCTGCGAAACCTTCGATTTGACCAAAATCCACATCCCATTACACGCGTTCTATCGCCAAGCACACATCATATCATCACCTGACGATCATGCCTCCCAAGGCCGCCCCCAAGAAGGCTGCTGAGCCCAAAGCAGCACCGAAGAAGACTCCCCTTCCCAAGAAGAATAACGAGATCACTAAGAAGCCTGCCGCGAAGCCCGCTGGAAAGAAGGAAGCTACTACTACCAATGGCGCGGCTGCCGCCTCCAAGAAGCGCAAGCTCGCCGAGGAGGAATCAGAAGTCGAAGCGTCCGAGGCCGAGGAGCCCGAGAAGACCGAGAAGCCTGCCCCCAAGAAGAATACCAAGAAGGCAGCAGAGCCTGCTGTGAAGAAGACCAAGACTACCACTGCCGCCCCCAAGAAGAAGGCCGCGGCTGCCGAGGAGACCGAAGAGGAGCCCAAGGTCGCGAAGCCCGCAAAGAAGGCTGCCGCGAAGAAGGCCGAGCCCAAGAAGACTGCTGCTGCGAAGAAGACTGACGCCAAGCCCGCCGCTGATAGCAAAAAGCGCAAGTCAAGCGAGGAGGCGACAGAAGACGAGAAGCCCAAGGCGAAGAAGTCAAAGACCGACACTGCTGAGGTCGACAGCCAGGCTACAGAATCGGCCAAGGCCACAGAGTCTGCGGATGAGGAGCCCGAGGCTGTCAAGCCTGCGAAGGCTACCAAGAAGGCCGCTGTCGCTGCCCCCAAGCCTCCCCCAGCCCACCCCCACAAGATTGGCAAGAAGATCAATTCTGCGCCGACCCAGATCCTCGATGTGTATGTATTCGGCGAGGGATCCTCTGGCGAGCTCGGTCTTGGCAGCAAGAAGCTTGACGGCAAGAAGGTTGTCGATGTCAAGCGCCCGAGATTGAACCCTAACCTCGATGCCAAGGACGTCGGTGTTGTCCAGATTGCTTGCGGTGGCATGCACGTCGCTGCTCTGACCAAGGACAACAAGATCCTCACATGGGGCGTCAACGACCAGGGCGCTCTTGGTCGCGACACCAACTGGGATGGAGGACTCCGCGATGCTGACGCCGAAGAGGAGGAAGACGACGAGGACGACTCCGGTATCAACCCCCACGAGAGCACGCCCACCGCTGTTGACGCGACGAACATTGCTCCCGATGTCAAGTTCACTCAGGTCGTTGCCAGTGACAGTGCCACATTCGCCTTGACTGAGGATGGCAGGGTTTACGGATGGGGCACATTCAGAGTAAGCTATCTAAACGCAGCATGACGTGACCAGTAGCTAACATTCTCCAGTCGAGTGACGGTATCCTCGGTTTCACCGACAAGATCCAGATCCAGAAGACTCCCGCCTACCTTCCCACATTGAAGAACATCACGGCCCTTGCTGCCGGTTCCAACCACATTCTCGCTCTTGACGACAAGGGTGTCGTTGTCGCCTGGGGCTGCGGCCAGCAGAACCAGCTTGGACGCCGTATCATCGAGCGCAACAAGCTTTCCTCCCTTATCCCCCAGAGCATGGGTCTTCCCAAGAACAAGGTCGATCGCATTGCTTGCGGATCCTACCACAGCTTTGCTCTTGGCAAGGATGGCGCCGTTTGGGCCTGGGGTCTGAACAACTTTGCCGAGACTGGTATTGAGATGGGCGCTGGCGAGGATGACGCCGTTGTTCTGCGTCCCACCATTGTCGAGTCGCTCAAGAACTACAAGATCAAGCAGATCGCTGGTGGCGAGCACCACTCTCTTGCTTGCACCGAGGACGGCAAGCTCTTGACCTGGGGACGTCTGGATGGCCACCAGGTCGGTATCCCTGTCGAGGAGCTGGATGCGGAAAGCGTCATTAAGGATGAGAGCAACAACCCCCGCATTCTCTCTAAGCCTACTGCTGTTGAGGGTAAGTCCAACATGTCTATTTGTTGCTGATTTGTGCCTAATGTTTGCTACCAGATATCTCCAAGTGTGTATACGTTGCCGCTGGTGTTGACAACAACTTTGCCATTGACGGAAAGGGCGAGGCTCACTCGTGGGGCTTCTCTGCCAACTACCAGACTGGCCAGGGCACGACTGAGGATATCGAGACCCCTACCACCATTGACAACACCGCTGTCCGCGGTAAGAAGCTCGTCTTCGCTGGCGCCGGTGGCCAGTACTCTATCCTGGGAGGTGTTGCCGATGTTCCCAAGGTCAACGGCTTCGCGCCCCAACCAGCCGCTGGTGGTTTCAGACCTGTTTTCTAAGTCTCTTAGAGAAAAGGTTGGACCTTGTCAGCGCGGCGGCGAGTCCCAAATGACAGCAAGCGGATACGACTGGCTTCTACAAGAACACGGATGATGAATGAGCAAGCGCTGCAATCACCAGAAACAAGAGGTGGACTCCATACATGAGCTGAGACGGCATACCAATTCCAGTCGAGATACTTTTTCCTTTGGTTCATTCTCAGCATGAGCCATGTTCACTCGCGATACGATACATTCGTGCGGCAATCTGATTTTGATGAGTTTCCGGTTTTTTCTCAAATGTCCCCTGAGCGGACTAATAGAATTTTCATTCCCAACGAGAGCGGCAGTGAGGCTTCGACTCGGCATGAACGGATGGGCAGATATAGAAACGGCCTCGAAGGGGAGTCAAACTTATGATACCAACGAGGATTTTCTGCTCGACAAGGCCCCTCCTATTGTGTGCCTAGCGGAGGATCGTGACCGCCGCGGAGGCTGTTTGGCTATGGAGACTGATGATAGTCTCCTGTAATACTATGCTTGGTCTCGAGAAGTTTTCAAGGTCTGATCCTCCCCTTTTCTTTACACTTGATGTGTATATTACGAGAGGATCTTCTAGCCCAGCATTATGCATTTTTATATTTTTAGCAGCATGGAAAACGGAAGGGATAGGAGGCATTGGGCTATCAAAAATTTATTTCTGGCTTCGTCTGAACATGATTAAGAGTATTGTACAATGACGTGAAGCATCGTCGGCCCCTTGGCTTCCGCCTCTCCTGGTAGCCGTGGGCATGCATCTGTCTGTCTCGCTGCCTTGTTCGTCTATCGTGGCTCCTTTGTTTGGGCTCCTGTTGGCTCTCGCACCTCTCCCGTGGCTCCCACAACGTTCAACTTCCATGGCATACACCAAAATGCGCCGTGCCCTTGTTGGTATGATTGGGTCTCTCTACAGTTCCGGCGTTTTCGAGATTCCTCGCGTGGGACCTGTCTGTCTTTTTTGGTGATTCTAAGGATTTTCCTTCATGTTGTCACCCTACCCTGCTCAACCCTTCAGCCCAGCCGCCGCCTTGGCCAGAGACCCGCCGCTGCCCCTAGAGCTGAAAATACCCATGATACCGAACCCGACGTAAAATAGCGCAAGCGGGTACGCCACGAGCCCGCGCATGCCCCTCATCCGTCCAACGGCGCAAAACATGCCCGAAGCGGAGTACGTGCACCAAAGGATAGCCATGGTGGTAAAGACGATACCGAGGGGCGTGTCCATGGGCATGAAGACGCCGAACACGCTGGTGGCGACCAGGGGGAGGAGGCAGTATCCCAGAACGGAGGAAGAGCGGGTGAAGGTCAAGGTCGAGGAGAAGTGGCCCGCGGCGTTGCGCGACGGGTGGTCGTGGTGGGTGTCCGGGGCGCCGGGGTAGCCTCCGCCGACGGAGGAGACGGGCCCGCCGTATTGGGGTGCTTGGGGTGCTGTTGAGGGGTGGGCGTCGGTGGGTGTCATGAGGGAGAGGATTATGTGGAGGGAGGTGCTTCCTAGGAGGGCGAGGCCGTAGATGTAGCCAAAGTGGATTTTGCCGGAGAGGAGGAGGAAGGTGCCGTACTGAAGGGGGAGAGAGGTTAGCTTTGTGTTGATGGTAGGGAACGGAGGTGAAGTTTTGGGTTTTGTAACGTACGGAGAGGACGAAGAGTAGGGGACCGAAGAGGTCTGCGTCGTCCATTAGGTGTTGGTCGATTCGGCGGAAGGGGTTCAGGACAGCCAGAGTCTGTAAGTCATCGCAGGTCAGCCAAATGGTCCTCCTCATGTTCAGGTCCGTTCTCATAGGGGTTGGGGGAGCAAGTTCTCCCAATGCTTCACGCCCACTCGCGCATCACACCCAACAAAACACACCTTTGCCTGAATATGTCCAAAGTTGACCCCAAGCTCCTCGAGCAAGGGCGGCTCGCCGTCGTACCCTTCAGTCGAAAAGGCCGCCAGCCAACCCGTGCGCAGACCGCCCTGCTCGCCCATGCGACCCGACACACCGACGCCGCCGCCAGGAGGAGCACCGAAAGCCGCCGCGCCGCCGAAGCCACCTGCCGCGGCGGGTTGGGCTCCGTAGCCGTACGAGGCCTGTTGTGGGGTTGCGTGGCCCGAGACGGCGCCGGCTGGGGAGTAGGAGGAGGGGTAGAACTGGAGGTTTTGGGCACCTCCTCCTCCTCCGCCGCCGCCGCCTCCTGCGCCGGGGCCGTAGGATTGTTGGGGTTGGTAGTAGTTTGACATTGTCTGCTGTGTGTGTCGGATTTGAGAGTTTGAGGTTGAGGTAGGTTTGGTATAGGTAGCTTGGTTGGAGTGCCCTTTCGATTACTACCCCCTTGTCTGGAGTAGGCGCGCCTCGATTCCGTTTCGTTTCGTCGTCGGTTCGTGATAGGAATCGTTGCAAAGCTGGTTGCAATGGATTGTGTGTAGGATAGAGGAGCTAGTCGTCGGTCGTGGGCTCGAGAGCCGTTTTGCGCCGGGGTTGCGAGGCGCGTTTGGGTGCGTGAGTGGACAGGTGGTACCTGGAGCTGGCGATATTGGAGACGTAGCTTCTTTCGAGGTTCACCACGTCAGTCAGGGCTGGTCGCTGGAGCTGTAGAGTGGGGCCGTGAAGAAGTCTTCTTGCCTGACGACTGAGGCAGAAGGAAAATACCCGTCAGGCATTAGTGTTCATCGATAAGATTGCGTTGCTTCTTCCGTTATCGATAAGATAACGTCTGATCATGTTTCCCTCGGACCTTTCTTGACGACCCTGGACCGGCATTCCTTGTTCCCCAGTTCTCCAGTTCTTGTGGACGCAGTAGTGTATTATTCCACGAACACATTATGCATCAGCAGGATGAGATGAACTGCGGATACAGCAACAGCTACGCATAAGTCACTAGATCATGTCATCATCCCGCTGAGATTGTCAAAGTCACGCAATTCGTCTCTTCTCCGCTGCAACTTGCAAGCATCAACTCCAGTAAGTGTTTGCTTCCAGAAAGCGAACAACGGCAGCCAATTCCTCTTCCATCTAGCGTCAAACAAAGCGCAAATTTCTGCCCGCCAGATTAGGCAAGCAATACTTCCAAGGATGTTCGTCCGGGGATGGACGCTTCTTCTGCCAGCCCACATAACCCAATCCCCAACCAAACAATACGCTCGTGGGCAGACTGCGGCAGTTTTCTGCTGCTACTGACTCTCTTCACTGGAGCCCCTATCAACCCATGGCATCGGTAACTGGCCACGAGGTGACTCCGCCAAGCATCACGGCAGTGGACTGTCATCTCCACTCAACCCACGCAGGATCAGAAGTTCTGGACAACATCGCGAGGGCAGAGAGTGCATGTGCTCTCTTAGATGGACAAGTTCACCTTGCTTCATCTCATTCTAAGGTGCTTATGCTACCAATAAGTAGACATCTGGTCTTCGGGTATGTTTCGTTCGAAAAGCCGACCATTTGGTGTCGTGCCATTGCTCAACTGAGTCGTGTGCCTGCTCAATACGATTTAAAGCCCTAGTCGACGTTCCATCGAGTCCGTGTACGGCTGCTCTCCGAGATGGTGGACTGAGATCTTCCGGTCGAGGCTCTCTCCGGAGCCCGAGGAAATGGTGTGAGCTGCTTTTCCGTTGGGGTCGCTGGTGTACTGTTCCCCATCGTGGCTCATAAACCGCGTATTACCTTCTTCAACAACCTCGACCGCATCCCTAGTAAGCCCAGGGAACCCCTCGTTCATGCGGTCCTGGGAATCTCTCGATTGCCGGGATTTCTATCCCACGGAGATGTCGATGGATCCTACCTCGAAGCCAGGTCTCCATCAATGAGGCGGCCCTACGGTGGTGGAGTTTGTTTTCCACCAACGGGAGGACGGTCTGCTTTCTAGCCCAATTTAACAACGGGGTCAGTGGTGGTTGCGAATAGAATGCCACGGCCTGGATGGCAGCTGTCTGCAACGACGGTACAGCGTTCCTTTCATCAAGACCTAGCCTGACAGCTCTCAGAGACGAGGGCTCCCTGTTGACGATGCGAAGTTTGTATTTAAGCTTGATGGCAGCCGGCTAATCGGCAAGAGCTGATCCCTCTCGATCAGTCTTCACTGCTGCAGTCATTCATTCCTTACCTTGCCATTGGTCTTTTTGGTCTTTTAACAGCAAACATGGGTCTCTACAGGTTCCTCATCGCCATCCTCCCGGTCGTCTTGGCCGCGGACCTCTACGTCGCGCCCGCCGGCTCAGATAGCGCTGCCGGCACTCTCGCTGCTCCTCTCAAGTCCATCCAAGTTGCCGTCGACAAGGCCGTTGCTGGCGACACCATCTACCTCCGTGCCGGCACATACTCGCCCACGACTAACATCAAGATCACCAAGAGTGGTACTTCCGCTAAGCCCTACACCCTGACGGCTTACAACGATGAGGCCGTCACAATCGACGGTGAGGCTTTGCCCGGCACCCCCGGCGCTCTCGACTCCTCTCTTGCCAACGCCGACCGTGGTGTTCTTCACATCGAGGGGGCCAACTACTGGAAGTTTTACAAGTTGACCATCATCAACGGTCCCTACGGCGTCTACCTCCGCGACGGTTCCAACAACTACTTTGAGCGTATCGTCACCCACGACAACTACGAGACGGGCTTCCAGATGCAGGGCTCCCTGAGCAATAACCAGGTCATCTACCTCGACTCCTACCGCAACCGTGACCCCCGCAAGAACGGCGAGAGCGCCGACGGCTTCGCCTGCAAGGAGGGCTCCGGCACGGGTAACATTCTGAAGGGCGCTCGTCTTTGGGAGAACGTCGACGACGGTCTGGACCTTTGGTAAGTTTGAAAGAACCTATCCACATCCCCCAAACTCACCTAAACACCCACTAACAAGCATAACAACAGGGAATTCAAGTCCCCCGTCACCATCATGGACACCATCTCATGGGGCAACGGCGTGAACCGCTGGGGCTTCACCGACTTCCAGGGCGACGGCAACGGCTTCAAGCTGGGCGGAGGCGACGCCGCCGACGTCGGCTCGGCCAACCACGTCATCACCAACAGCATCGCCTTCAACAACGCGGCCAAGGGCTTCACCGACAACAAGCAGCCCGGCAACTTTCAGTTCACCCGCAACACGGCCTACAACAACGGCGCCGTCGGCTTCCAGACCATCACGACCAAGTCGACGCTCAAGAGCAACATCGCCGCCGCCAACTCGGCGACCACGGCAAAGTCGGGCCAGACGTCGCTCGTCAGCGGCACCACCAGCAGCGGCAACTCGTGGGACGGCAGCGCGACCTGGTCCGCTTCGAGCTTCAAGAGCGTCGATGTTAGCTTGGTCAAGGGCGCGCGCCAGGCCAACGGCAAGATTGTGGCGAGCAACTTCTTGATTCCTACCTCTGGCGAGGCCATTGGTGCTACCACCACCTGGTCCTAGATCCTGGTTTCTCGTCTCGGAACATACTATCTTACCCCGTAAATAATTCATCTGTACATACTTAGACTGCCATAGAGCGGAGTACATAAACCAACCAGTACACATTCCAACCAGTACACATTCTCTTACATATAAGACTCTTCTTGCCTTATTCCGCGTGAAACCCTTTGCCTAAATGGCCATTTTGCCCTTTGGAAGCCTCGAAATAGTTGCTTTTTAGTCACGGAGACTGATGTACCAAGATTCTGAACAGTCGGGTCGGCCCAGGGACGGCAAAGTAAACTCTTCAAATTGTGATGTTCATGTCTGCGCCAACTTTTGTTCTTCATCATGCTCGCTACGCAGGAAACAATCAATGAGCGTCAGACACTCGAGGTGAGATGAAGGTTCCAGGCGTTTGCAGTGCCGTCGAGACGTTGAAAGAGAGCACAAGCGCAGCGGAACATTTCGACGATGGACTCAAACTCAAAATCAAGACCCGTGCTCTGTTGACAAGGGGAACCCATTGCTCATTTCCCACGAGCATCAGCGTGGATGACCAGCCACAGCAGAGGCGGCCCACTAGAATCAGCTTTGTGGCTGATGAGAGAATATGTGGCGCAGCATGCACGGAAGGCCCGAGAAAAAAGTTGTCGGCGCCCGGCCAAACCCGCTCCTCCGAAGCGCAGGAAGCTCGGAATTTCTCGTCGGCAATTTCCATGTCGTCGATGGATTTTTTTGGATAGGTTGCGAGCCATTCTTACGCCCAGCGCCCCCCCTCGTACCAGCCAAGCTGTACTGAACACGCGCGACATCGCATCTCGGGTCCCTGTATACCGTGCGATCAGTCATCGAGCATCGATCCGCCTCCATCAACAACATCTCTACCGCCCTTCGCGCAGAGGCTACTAATACAGCAAACATGGTGAGTTCGCCTCAAGCTTTCCCCTCCTACCCTCCTCTCGCGCGCGCGCCTCTTCGAACCCGAATGCGCCGCCAGAGCTCATCAACCTCCTCCCGGTCCCGCGAAGCGCAACCTGACTGACCTTCGCAACCCTTTAGGCGTACCGCCTCATCACCCAAGTCGTCTTCGTCGGCACCCGCATCGTCGGCCGTTCCTTCGCCGCAGCCTACAAGCAAGCGCAGGCCTCCTCCGAGTACGCCCGCGCGCAAGCCAAGAACGGCAACGCACCCGCCGGCACAAAGGGCGCCGGCACCGGCGGCTCGGGCATGACGCTCGACGAGGCGTGCAAGATCCTCAACGTCGAGGCACCCGGCAAGAACGGCGCCGACGCCAACGCCGGCGAGGTCATGGAGCGCTTCAAGAAGCTGTTCGACGTCAACGATCCCAAGAAGGGCGGCAGCTTCTACCTGCAGAGCAAGGTGCTCCGGGCGAGGGAGAGGTTGGAGAAGGAGATTGGGCCGCTGGTGGAGAAGGAGGAGGTCGAGGCTGAGGTGAAGGAAGGGTTCAAGCCCAAGATTTACAAGGACCGGTGAACTGCCACCGCGGGAACTGCGGCGGCGACGGCAGGACGGTCGTCATGAGGACGCTGACATAACCATGGACGACGAAAGCTTCCTCTGCGACGAGCGATCCTGGGCCGGGCCAGACCGAATCGATGTACGAACGGACTCCGACGGAGGGATGGGAGGGGGTACGACCACTGAGAGTGCTCTGTCAAGAGCTATTTCAGGGTCAGAAAACTGTATTGGAACAAACTTCACTCGACTCCGCATGGCATGGCGTTTTTAGGAGGTGGAATCTCTTTTTTGATTATTTCGGCGCGCGCGCTCACGGCACCGCCAGCATTGGCATGGTTAGACGATAAAAGGGGGCTCTGCGCGAAGAAAATTTGTTAATACTACTGTACTATAAGAGATGATGGGAAGAGAAGAAGAAAGAGAGACGGGGGGCTTCGGACCGATGGGAAGAGGTCTTTAGAGAATGCAAACACCATATTGCTACTCATGCATAGAGCCAATGAAATGCGTCTCACGCTTGATTGAGTCGTCGACTGGCGGCTCAACGTTGCTTGGATTCTGGCATTTTTTCACGACTTTGGGTGAACATGTTCCAGTGTCATGCTGACCGACTTGGTACATGAATTTTGACTTATCCAATTCTTTTCAATTTACAATATCTCATTATTTCGAGCAACCAACCGCCCCTCCGATACTCGGCCTACATCAAGTACTTCACAACGCAGGACATCCATCCCCACCCATCAATACAGAACTACATGCCTCAAAATTCTGACCCAACACAAAAAGTGAACTGATCGTGATGATCAGTTCCAAGTAATTGCCCAGAGGCGGATTCGAACCGCCGTCAACACGGATCGCTGTATAGAAGAACCACAACGTATCATCCTAACCAACTAGACGATCTGGGCGAATCGAAGCTTGCAGGTATCTCCTTGGTGGGGGAGGAAGCTTGGTTGACAGATCCGCTCGGAAACGGGTCTATGGACGGACTCCCAAGTGAGGTGGGAGACGAGATGTGTGAGGGCTTACGCGCGGTGGAGCAAGTGGGTGTACTCTCTGAGGGCTGCATGGAAGCCTCGTGTAAGACTTGAGAGATGGGTAGAAGAAATATAGCTTTAGAAGTTGTTGCCCAGACTCCAACGGTTTGATTGAAATTCGTACCGTTGTTCTTAATGAAGCTTGTCGGCGTTGCTAGGGTTGAATTTCGAAGAGCTCTCGAACGACAAGTCTATGATCTAGCGAGTCTCAAGACACTGAGAGATGATAACTCCAGACAGAAAGCCCTAGTACGAAGTAGTTGCAACGAACAATACCAATTTCTCATTCCATCCGCCGTTGAGAGTGTCTTCAGCCGTTAGACTCCGTCTGACCTGTAAATCTGGTCTGGCCGTTCACCTTCGCGTCTGACTGTTGACCAAATTCAGAGCCTCGGATAGATCATCCGTTCTAGTCCTCTCCATATACTCGATCCCATTCTCACTTTGCATCCGGATCCCGCCAGCCCCAGACCCCCGAGCAGCCCTCCGTCGCTCGACGACAAGCCACCGCGACGCTCCCACAACAGCACGTACAATGTCAACAAAGTTGAGCGCATCCTTCAACGCTCTCCATTGGAAGCTCCGCGCAGAAACTCTGGTCTCGGCGGTAGGCCGAGTAGAGCCGTCAGCCCCATCCCAAACGCCGCATGCGTCCTGCTCTTCTGTTCCAACCCCTCCATACGCCGTCTCAGGCTGCTGAGGCCAGATTTCCCGGCTTCTTACAGGGATGATTCGCGTCGCGGAGTTCTGATCTGTGCCCTGCTCATCTTCGTCGCCGGCATTGTGTCTGTTTTTTTGCGGTGCCGCTGGGTCTTTGTAGATGGAGTAGGGGTAGGCATAAAGGTGGAGGATCGATACGGCTGCCATCTCGAAGCAGAGGAGTGTATTGGGAATCCCGACGGCCCATGATGGGTGGGAGATGTACGCTGTTGGTTTCAATGGGCCGCCGTCGCCTGTGAGGAACTCGAAGATGCCCTGATGTAGCTTCGGTGTTAGCGTATGTTCATGGTAAATGACGGCCAGGAGAGGAGGCTGTTGGGAGCCAATTGTCTAAAGAGGGGAGATTTGCACTCACGGTCTGAACGTAGAATAGAAACACCACTAGCTTGATGGCGAGGAATTTGAGTAGAGGTCGATGCTGGGCCATCTCCTTTGAGGTTTGGTGGTAGAATTGCAGCAGGCACATCATGGCTGTGACGAGGGACAAGATCTCAATGACCATGACCTATTTGTTGTCAGTGTCTCTAGTCTTCGTTCTCTACCATGTTCGACCCTCGAGAATCTTGTCTTCATTGTGGTCTCACCCACCCAGATCTTAGCATGGCTAGGATCCTTGGATTCCTTGCAATACACGTCCGCCGCTTCCGTGATGCACTTTGTGAGAGCACCGAAGAACTTGACAGTACAGAACTGGAAGACACCGAACCAAATAATCTAGCAAAAATTAGTCAGACGCAGGCTATGTAAGAGACACCATGTTTGTGAGCTGCATTCACTCACGTTGAACCATTTCAGGCCGTCCTCAGTCTGTCCCTTTTTGTTTCTTCCGACATGTTTGACAAAGAACCGCGTGGGATTGAGCCACTTCTTCGGCTCCACCAAGTTGAAGACCTGGCGTAGTGTATTCAGATCGGGATGCAGCAGCTGGCAGAGTAACAGGAAGAAGGATGCGATGACTAAGGACTCGTAGAACTCATAAACGCTTCCGATGTACACCTGCTTCTTGTAAAAGATGATGCTCAGGGTGCATGCGATGGAGTAGACGGGGACCATCAACAGGATCCGGATGATTCTGTGCACCAATGTCTTTTTGTCAAAATCCACGAACGCTCTGTGATGAGGCAGTGCTATAAAACGAACTACAAGGAACTCACTGCTTCTGTTCTTTGGGTTTTGTGTAGTTGCTCGCGTGTCTAAAGATGAGATATGCCGTAGCGCAGCAGGCGACTATGGTTGCTCCTGCTGATAGAGATATCAACAGGCCGTGAACTCGGATACCGCCACCGAGCTTCTGTTCGACAACTTGTAGTAGATTTGTCAGACGTGCCTTCGACCGGTATTGTCATATATTGTTACGTACTTGGAACATCCAGATGATGATCTTTGCATCTCGCCATTGAATCTCCAGGACGGTCCAATTCCGTATAATGTCGCTCTCGCGTTAATCGATCCAAGATCTCGGCTCACGTCTTCGTTCAGACCACAATAGGAGTCACCTCCGGCTTCGTAGCTTTTCGCGCTCTTCCGTGCTCTCTATCCTCCCGATTCTTCTCTTGTGGCTGTCCTTTTATCGTTTCTGGTTGTCTTCTCTTTGTGATGACTGTCAATGAGAAGGTACAATAAGACAGATTGTCTTAGATAAAACCAGACTTGAAGAAGCGAAAGACCAATACAAGTTCCAGAGCAGACACTGAAAGAAAACAATGATGAAAGGCTACACGGGATTAGCAATGAGAATATACATCCTGCGCCTCTGGAGCCCAGGCTTTCTTATCAAGAGAGTAAAAGCTTAGGCAATTACATGAGAGGACCAATCTCACCCAAGCTTTCTTCGTTCTCTTAGCATCATAGCCAATTATTACCTTACCTATCCTAACGAGACAAAACCTGACGGATCTGCGGGCCTAAGATCATAGTGACCAATAGACTTTCGAATGTCCTGAACGAGGTAGATTAAACAGCCCTCTCCCCCATTTTACAGCCTTTGCCCAGCCGTACTATCCGCCGACTTACTCGTGTAATTGTAACTTTACACGCAGACGTTGGCATGAAAATCTCTTAGAATATTAAGGTTTCGTTACAAAGCCCAGGCGCAAACGCGGCGACAAGGGTCAACCCCCCACTGGGCTGAGCCGTCATAGCCACACTTTACACGTCAACGGGAGATTCGGGAAGACCCGTTCGTATATCTAATGGCATAACTCAGTCTCGGCATGGAGTAATCCGTTTGGTCGATGTCCTTGTGCCCTTGATTATAGAGTACCTGATTCGTCCGCTTTTGCCCCATACAATTGTGAATGCGGCGGAACCCGAGTTACGAACACGAGATACGAGCTAGGCGTGTTCGTCAGTCACAGACTCGCCCGCTTCAGAGTTTGGGGGTTGACAGATCTGCCTTGCTAGGCCTTGGCGGCTTCGAGTGCCGGCTTCCCCTGAATAGGCATTTGCTTCAACCTTGCACGATGCGACAGTAGCCACCGTACCCGTAGCTGAGACACGGACTTCGGTCTCTAACTACAGGTCCTGATTGAAGATTATGATATCGTTACCCGCGTAAAGTGCGAGCTATCATTGGCTCTGCCTACCGTAGCCTTCGCTTGCAGTGGCTGATCTTTATGTTCATCCTACCCCACGATCGTGACACAGCCCCATATATTTCTTGGTGGATAGTCTGTAGTCTCAGGCAAAGCAGGAGGCGGGATTGAGAGACTTTGAAGACTCCGGAGCCGTACGGAGCTCGAGTCAGTGTTTGTCTAGGCAAGTTACAGTGCCTGAACATCGTGAGCCTCGATGCTGACTGGTCAAAAGTTTCGGCTCCCACCGCTTAGCAAAGTGGTGAAACATTGGCTGCATTCTAACGAATGGACATATGCTACCCATATACTATGGCGGAAAGGCGGTAATGAAGAAAGAAAGAACAGAAATGGCTGCGCAAGGCGCACTTGACAAAGGTGATTGCCCGCGTGTTCATCGGATCGGTTGACATCAGTTCGTCTCAATTCCGTCCCGATGTCATGACTGACGACAGTCTATCGTGCGGACACATCATTTCGCCTTTCGGCTTTGCAAACTATTCCCGATATGTGGCTTAACATTAACATTGTAGCGAATGAGAATGGCTTGATTTGCAGTCCTCTGCCTCATGTGAAATGGGGAAAGCCATGGATAGGATTGAGCATCTCGTCAGGAGCTACCCGTTAACCCATCTCACGACTTGGTATGGAATTCAGAGTCAAGATAATTTCCGTCATCCTA